ATTCGGTGTTATAGTCTGGGTCCCTGTAAAGATATACTGAAATATTTAAATATTGCAAATGTCTGTATTCGGTGTTATAGTCTGGGTCCCTTTAAAGATATACTGAAATATTTAAATATTGCAAATGTCTGTATTCGGTGTTATAGTCTGGGTCCCTGTAAAGATATACTGAAATATTTAAATATTGCAAATGTCTGTATTCGGTGTTATAGTCTGTGTCCCTTTAAAGATATACTGAAATATTTAAATATTGCAAATGTCTGTATTCGGTGTTATAGTCTGGGTCCCTTTAAAGATATACTGAAATATTTAAATATTGCAAATGTCTGTATTCGGTGTTATAGTCTGGGTCCCTTTAAAGATATACTGAAATATTTAAATATTGCAAATGTCTGTATTCGGTGTTATAGTCTGGGTCCCTGTAAAGATATACTGAAATATTTAAATATTGCAAATGTCTGTATTCGGTGTTATAGTCTGTGTCCCTTTAAAGATATACTGAAATATTTAAATATTGCAAATGTCTGTATTCGGTGTTATAGTCTGGGTCCCTTTAAAGATATACTGAAATATTTAAATATTGCAAATGTCTGTATTCGGTGTTATAGTCTGGGTCCCTTTAAAGATATACTGAAATATTTAAATATTGCAAATGTCTGTATTCGGTGTTATAGCCTGGGTCCCTTTAAAGATATACTGAAATATTTAAATATTGCAAATGTCTGTATTCGGTGTTATAGTCTGGGTCCCTTTAAAGATATACTGAAATATTTGACGTGGTGCGGGAAAGATCGATAAACAACTTAAATATGGAGATGCACTCGGTTAGATACTGGGTGAGAATAAAATGATGGATGAGTCAGAGGGAACTAAAAGCTGGCTTTAAGCACTTGGCCCTGGCCCATTCTCCTATATAAGCCAATGGAGACTCAACTAGGCTCTTAGTATTCAAACTTTTTACACCCCTTAATGCTTTAACACTTTAGAAAATCTTCTCTCGACTAAGAATCTGTTTCCCTCTATGTATGTTAGGTGTACAAGTATGAGGGTATTCATATGGAGAGATAGATAGAGGGAGAGAGGGAGAGAGGGAGTTAAAGCGTTAAGTAATAACCTGTGTAGCCTAAAACTGAACACAGCTAAAAAAAAAAAACCTGCTAATCACTGTAGCAGTTAGCTGCAACATCTTCCCGTAACGAGCTTCTTGCACTGATTGTAGCATCGTTTTTCCCCCGCCAAGGCTTGCTTTTCATGTTTTTTTGTGTATCAAGTTGGCGGTGTTAGCTCGGACAATTAGCTACTGCAACACGGGAGGAACTGGCTCTAGATTTCTCACAGCGGTACATGGCCAGCGTACGCACCCTCTCAACGCCCACAGTTTTCATTAGATTAACACTTTAGATTTCATTCAATTACACATTTCCTCTTGTTCGCGGCGCTCTCCTTGTTTGTTAACGCTGTCGTTGTTCTTATTTTAAAATTTTATATCGTTGTTTGTTAGAATTATATCACGTTATGTTTACGTCTATATGTGTATCAGCCTCGTATGTTCAGTATGGCCAAGAACACATCAAGGGCATGGCTGCAAAGAATATACGACTTGTTAATTGACCACGACTAGTGAAGTGTAATCGCAGACCTTAGGTAAAGTCGAAGCTTAATTACAAAGTTTTTGGCCAACGCAGGTGTTAGAGAAACATTTAATCACCTACACATCTTCCCCTTGAAAGTGTTTACATATTTTCTTGGCGCGCTTCCATTTATTCTAGTCAAAGTAAAACGCTGTCTTAATTTTGCATTAGCCTCATTTTAGCTTTGTAGTTAGGGTTGAAGTTAAGTATGTACCCACTAAATTCTCCCTTTTGTGAGTAAATTAACCAAAGATGAAGTGCAAGCTTTACTCACTTGTAAAATGCTAGGCCACAAGTATTTATGGCGGCTGGCTACGTTCGTCTTACAGTCGTCAATCTCTTTAATGGTCAATGTAAAATGTCGCTCATCTCAATGTAGCATGAACAAGTTTTCCACGTCTGAAATGTTGCTCTCATCTGGTGTTGTATAATTAAACACAAGCCATCCCACGTCTTGCCAGTAAGACTAAACATAACTAAGACGACTGAGCGGCATCTCCTATACCTTCTTAAAACAAACCAGCCACTTTAATCATTAGCATCCGCTTATTTGTTCTTTTATGTGTTTTCATTAAGCATGTCTTAATGTTTGTTTGACGAAACGTAATAGCTTTAATTAAGATTGAAGTAAAATTAAAAGGCATTTTTTTTTCATTTTTAAAGAGTTTCGCTCTAAATAATTTAAAAACAATATCCACTGCTACGTCTGACACCAAGTTTACTCGCCTACATATTATTCGTTATTTTGTTGTCGTGTAACCCCAAGTGAACTCGCCTACATATTCGTTATTTTGCTGTCCTGTAACCCCAAGTGAACTCGCCTACATATTATTCGTTATTTTGTTGTCGTGTAACCCCAAGTGAACTCGCCTACATATTCGTTATTTTGTTGTCGTGTAACCCCAAGTGAACTCGCCTACATATTCGTTATTTTGCTGTCCTGTAACCCCAAGTGAACTCGCCTACATATTATTCGTTATTTTGTTGTCGTGTAACCCCAAGTGAACTCGCCTACATATTCGTTATTTTGTTGTCGTGTAACCCCAAGTGAACTCGCCTACATATTCGTTATTTTGTTGTCGTGTAACCCCAAGTGAACTCGCCTACATATTCGTTATTTTGCTGTCCTGTAACCCCAAGTGAACTCGCCTACATATTATTCGTTATTTTGTTGTCGTGTAACCCCAAGTGAACTCGCCTACATATTATTCGTTATTTTGTTGTCGTGTAACCCCAAGTGAACTCGCCTACATATTCGTTATTTTGTTGTCGTGTAACCCCAAGTGAACTCGCCTACATATTATTCGTTATTTTGTTGTCGTGTAACCCCAAGTGAACTCGCCTACATATTCGTTATTTTGTTGTCGTGTAACCCCAAGTGAACTCGCCTACATATTATTCGTTATTTTGCTGTCGTGTAACCCCAAGTGAACTCGGCTACATATTATTCGTTATTTTGCTGTCGCGTAACCCCAAGTGAACTCGCCTACATATTATTCGTTATTTTGTTGTCGTATAACCCTAAGTGTACTCGCCTACATATTCGTTATTTTGTTGTCGTATAACCCTAAGTGTACTCGCCTACATATTCGTTATTTTGCTGTCGTATAACCCTAAGTGTACTCGCCTACATATTCGTTATTTTGCTGTCGTGTAACCCCAAGTGAACTCGCCTACATATTATTCGTTATTTTGCTGTCCTGTAACCCCAAGTGAACTCGTCTACATATTATTCGTTATTTTGCTGTCGTGTAACCCCAAATGTACTCGCCCATGTATTATTCGTTGTTTTCTGGTGTCTAGGGAGCAGTTAACCTTTGATTTCACTTGAGCTTAAAATCTAATGAAAGTGGTTTCCTGAAAATTCTGGATAACCTTCAACTTTTTGTTAACTGTTACGCAACAGTCCTTTTTTTTCCGGCTACCGATTAATAAATGATAAACTGCCGGTTCGTCAAATGTATTGCTTGAGTTGAGTACCGCCCACACAAGTCTGCAAGCTGAACCCCCACCACGGCACACAATGGAATGTCATGAAACAACCCAACATTTTAACCCGGTATCATAAAGTATTAAACACCACCGCACACAGCTCACGGTGTAGAATGTCAGGAAACAACCCAACATTTTAACCCGGTATCATAAAGTATCAAACACCACCGCACACAGCTCACGGTGTAGAATGTCAGGAAACAACCCAACCTTTTAACCCGGTATCATTAAGTATCAAACACCACGGCACACAGTTCACGGTGTACAATGTCAGGAAACAACCCAACATTTTAACCCGGTATCATTAAGTATCAAACACCACGGCACACAGTTCACGGTGTAGAATGTCAGGAAACAACCCAACATTTTAACCCGGTATCATTAAGTATCAAACACCACGACACACAGTTCGCGGTGTAGAATGTCAGGAAACAACCCAACATTTTAACCCGGTATCATAAAGTATCAAACACCACGGCACACAGTTCACGGTGTAGAATATCAGGAAACAACCCAACATTTTAACCCGGTATCATTAAGTATCAAACACCACGGCACACAGTTCACGGTGTAGAATATCAGGAAACAACCCAACATTTTAACACGGTATCATTAAGTATCAAACACCACCGCACACAGTTCACGGTGTAGAATGTCAGGAAACAACCCAACATTTTAACCCGGCCAACAACACCGGATGTATTTAACACCAGCTACCACTCACAGTGAATTTATTTAAACGTGTGAGCATTCGCAATGTTAGTTACTGTCTGTGGCGCTGATGGTTATGGTATTGCGTTCGAACATGTTTACATTGTGTAGTGTAGTACATGTATATGTCTATCCAGCTGGCTATCGTCCACCACAGCCTGCTGTCCTAGTTAGTTCCTCCTCCACTGTATACCCTGTCCCCATCTCACTAGCGTGACGCTAGAGCCGGGTGTAAGGCAGTATGAGTAAAATAAACATGCCCAGTTAACGGGAGTTTTCTCCCTGTTCTGTGAAGTGTGCCACTGAGAACAGGTTTCAACCATCTGTTTCCTCTATTTCGTTGTTTTACTTTTACTATACATGGCGTTACATAACGTTTAAAGTTGCTATAACATGCCAACCTTCATGCATTATTTAATTGCTTTATGTATTTGTAATTCATCTTTTCTTATGTTTTGTAACACAAGATACTAGATAACAATGCTTACATTCTCTCACCCCCATCAATATATTATCCCTAATTCACTTCTAATATTATTGTCCAGATATTAAGTTTGGGCACATTGTGTTATTAGAATACAAACGTGGGTATTTTGTCTACTGTTATATCCATCTACACACTGTGCTGTTTTAATACTTGTCTAATTTGTACCTTCTTGATTTCAGAAGGTCAAGCACTCTACCAGCATCAGAGGCCACCAATGCACAGGTCTGGGTCAGTTCCATCTGGCCACAGCCATGCAATGGACGCCAGTGATCATTATATAAGCAGTGGTCACTCGGATACATATCCTTACCATTGCCCAAATGCCGGGGATGGCTCTGTGATTACTCATACTAATGACAGGTCAGTTGTTATAGTAGGCTACGTATAGCATAGCTGACATCAACAGCTGTGTCAAAGTGACGTGTTCTGTCTTACACAGGTTCTCTTTATAGCACAGTCAAGCATCACATTAAAACCCTATCACACACCATCCATAACACACCAACCATCACACAACAACCATCATACACCAACCATCACACCAACCACACACCAACCATCACACACCAACCATCACACCAACTATCACACAACAACCATCACACAACAACCATCACACACCAACCATCACACCAACCACACACCAACCATCACACACTAACCATCACACCAACCATCACACCAACCATCACACACCAACCATCACACACCATCCATCACACACCATCCACATTCTCTATCACACACCATTCATCACACCACTTATCCTACACATCAGTGGTGTCAATGTTGTGCTACTCCTTGTTTAAAAAAAATCACTTAAACAATGGATGTATATTTGGTTTCATGTAAGGAAATACATTCTTCCTACATGCTAGTTCTACCTATTTCTATCGATATTGAAAACAAGGCCAGTTCTATTCACAAATAAACAAAAGTATTCAGGAGCATTGGTTTTTATCCTAGTTACTCCGTATTTCAATAATGTTGGTTGTATCAAAAATGTTATCGCTTCAACATTTGGTTGTCAGTTTAAGCCAATGTGTATCTACTGAAATTGATAACACTTTGGTTATGATTATTGGCGGATGTCTGTCGGGTTTCCCAACGTAATCCCTAATAATAAACGGAGCTTGTTCTGTTTTTCATCTTAATTAATCCTCTCGCGAAGTAACTCAAGAAATAGTCATAAGGGTATTAAAGCCCTAGTGTATCGATCCACAGATTAGGCCTTTTGATGCCATCATTTGGAAGATGTAACGGTCAGATATAAATTATTGTTCATTAAAATAGTACTCAATATTTTGAAACTGTTCGACTACTGTTTAAAAAAAGTTGTCTATCGTGAATTCAATTCGTGGCAGCACCAAGTTTTTTTTATAGATATTATAACGCGCCCCCCCCCTCCCCTCCCAACTTATCCCACGCCCCGTGAACCTTCTGGTGCCACACCGAAGTGTGTGAAAGTAAAATAAACCAGTAGTCAATCAGGGCTGGGAGGGCGTGGTGGCAGGAGCACCCAACGCCCTTTGATCTACCGCCCTGTATGGCTGCCCCTGAGTTTACCCATCTCTATAATGTGCTTGACCCTAGGGAAACTAGACGATATATGGGCACCTGGGCTAGCTGTGCAGTTTCGTCGTACTCGTGGCCTATAAACACCAGTAATCTGCTTCATCTGTCCAGTAGTACTTCAGATCTTGACAGGGGTTTCCACGGTAACCGGTATAAAAATGTGGGAACCACCACACCCAACAACCACCACACCACCAACAGTCAGAAACAACTACGATCTTTGCAGTGCTCTATATTTTTCCACCTTCCACTTGTGCCGATACAAAAAAAAAAGTTAATTTTTTTCTAAGCCGTACACGCTTTCGATATTAATCCCCTTATAAAAGAGCTAGTGGAGCGGATATTTAGATGAAACTATACATTACTAGAAATGGCAGCACTATAGACTATATACCCGTCAGTTCTATCGTGAAACATGAGTATCTGGTTTTCGATCAATACGGCATAATGCACGTCATACGGAGATTGGCTAGCTCCAAGGGGCGCAACTCTGACCTTGAGAATGTTTGAACTCAGGGGGAGGACTAGGTGCACCATCCGGGGAACGTACCGCACTTGGAGGCTGGAGGTTCTAAATGATCCAACTAGTCGTCATTAGCTCGTAAATTAAACCACCAGGCTCAGTACTTTGTGACTGCTGGTCTCATGAAGCAGGTTGATGAAAGTCAGCTGAGAAATAACGAGGCACATATTTTAAAAAAAAATGTTTATGTAATCTTGTATAGCCATCGCGTGAATCAAACGCTACCTCAAATTTAATAGCTCGTTTCTTATCGGGTTTCCTCTTCAACCAAAAATAGCATTTTATTTATTGGCGCTTCATTTCCATGAAATAACAACAACGGCATCAATTTATGGTCACTGTTTTGTCCATTGACCGGTGTTGACGCGCCATTCAAACGTTTATTACTTTAAAATGGTTACTGTTTTGAGCAACTCTTCCCTGAATTACACTTAATTAGTTATATATTGATTTTTTCCCCGGCAATACTAGGCCAGCCCCGTGAGTTTTGATTAAACCGGCACCACCCCCCATCGTCCCCCACATCCGTGCGTGTTTCCTGCTCCCCTCCCCGGGGGCCGCTCATGTTTTGGACCATTGTATTCCATCTGGCCCAAAAGACAATGGCACTGATACCACTGGCCGCTTTCTTCTGTCCCCAACAAGAATGGAGACGATTTGCTATAAATTACCACAAACACTGGGCAAAAATCCTCTTCGTGTTTTTCTACAGGATGCTTCCAATTAAAACAACCAAAACTTGCCTCTACATAATGGTATTCAAACCAGGACAGAACACTAAAATCATTTTAAAGATGTTTACATTTCATTTAGCACAGTCTAAAAAAAAAAACACTTTTAAAGTGAAGACATTAATTTTCTCCCGTTAACCTAATTAATACGGATAGTTGTTTTGAATTAACTCCATAAACAAAGAGCATTCAGAGGAAACTAATCAAATTAATTTTCTTCATTAAATTTGAGAAGCGCTAATTAATGCCCGATTAAAACAATTACTTGTAAATACGTTGTTATTTTATATCTCAATTAGACTGCCATAGCTCGTTCGTCTTTAGAGAGAAATGTGTAGAACGTTCTTCTGATATGGCCTTAAAGCTAGTTGATCTATTTTATTACTGGAGTTAATGTCCACACAGTATCAGTCAATGACACATTAGCTGTGTGCTACAAATACAATCACACACAAAAACTGAAAAGTCCATATTTAAATGTGCAATTAGTTGCCTCTCACTAAGATCTATACTCAATAAAACACAAAAGTAAAAATAGGCTGATCTTGGTGTTATTTATATGCTATACATAATGACACTTTAACCTAGTCCTAAGTTCTGCACAGCCCAAACTCTATTCTTATGTCATCGGTTACCGAAACATGCCCAGCCCAAACTCTATTCTTATGTCATCGGTTACCAAAACATTCCCAGCCCAAACTCTATTCTTATGTCAGCCCAAACTCTATCAGTTATTGCCCACATTTGATTGGAATCAGTGTACCGCTTCTTCGTCCTGAAATATCAAAGAAAACGCTAACTCCTGTCTGATCAAGTTAGTTTAATTTTTTGACGCTGTAATATTCAGCACTAATGAAATAAATAATCTAAAGAACATGCTGCTGTGTATAATAGTTTGACGTGCGTGCTAATACAGAAAACTGTGCACGAATCAGTGGTGCTTTGAGAGAGCTGCCAAAGTAGCTCTAAGACGTCATAAAGTTTTAAATACTTTTGTTGTTATTCTTTCCTACTTCATTTCAAATAGGTATGTATGTACATAAACACATACTCGAATTTACGTTACACATTTAGCACCACATACACGCGACCACTGGCCAGGATAAGCGGCCCTCAGTTTTAACACAACTTGCGGCCACTGGCCAGGATAAGCGGGCCTCAGTTTTAACAGAACATGCGGCCACAGGCCAGGATAACCGGGCCTCAGTTTTAACACAACATGCGGCCACTGGCCAGGATAAGCGGGCCTCAGTTTTAACACATGCGGCCACTGGCCAGGATAAGCGGGCCTTAGTTTTAACACAACATGCGGCCACTGGCCAGGATAAGCGGGCCTTAGTTTAACACAACTTGTGGCCAGGATAAGCGGGCCTCAGTTTTAACAGAACATGCGGTCATTGGCCAGGATAAGCGGGCCTCAGTTTTAACAGAACATGCGGCCACTGGCCAGGATAAGCGGGCCTCAGTTTTAACACATGCGGCCACTGGCCAGGATAAGCGGGCCTCAGTTTTAACAGAACATGCGGCCACTGGCCAGGATAAGCGGGCCCTCAGTTTTCACGCTAGTGCACCATTCCCCGAAGGTCTTGCGCTGATCAGACGAGGTCTGCGCCCAGCTTGTATTATGCAATTGGCAAAGGCGGCTTCATTATCACTCTGGTGCGTCACGTCCCTTGGTGTAAGCATTAGCTTGGGGTGTCGCCCCGCGCCCTGGGGAGCGCCATCGGGATGGAGGAAGCCTTAATGCTCCGTCCCAGATAGGGATTGAATTACCACTAACTAATAAACTTTAAACGTTCTTCCACTCAACCCACGCTTTCCCTCACACAGAGATACACGTATAAATTGGTTGAAAGGGGAAAAGTTTTAATCTCATTACACACGGTTTTTGTGTGGGGGAGAAACGGGGGTCGCACGCGCGTACAATCACAGTAGCTTCAATTGATGGAATTGAGCGACAGTCTTTAAAGCAAACTGAATTTTTCAGTGGGAGCAGAATTTTTAATTGGTTTCTCCTTCCTGGACACGTTTCTGTGTATATCAACCACTCTCTGGTTAGGTGGTTTAGTCGTCTGCTGTATGGATGACGTCAGTATTTGATTGAAAAAATGTCCCAGCACTCAATGATTTATTTGATCGGCACGCGGGTTTATTTCTTTAGCCATTTTTTTATATTTGTTGAACACCATCGCAGAGTTGCCTTAAAGAGTTACACATCAATGATATTGTTTTAGGACGATAATCTCCAACAATGCCTTTGCTGTTCATAGAGTCGATAGCCGCAGATACTCTTACAGACTGGTGTTTAATTAAAAGGTCAGTTTGAAACACAAGGCTGCTCGCCCTTTGCTGTCTTCCTGCAGCGCTAATTGTTGGGTTATCCGTGCCAGTTTTATGACGTGCTCAAACCTGTCTCGCAGTGTGTTAGCAAGCCTACAAGTCACATGTCTGTAGGTTAGACCGTGGACACAGTGCTAGTCACATGTCTGTATGTTAGACCGTGGACACAGTGCTTGTCACATGTCTGTATGTTAGTCAGACCGTGGACACAGTGCTTGTCACATGTCTGTATGTTAGTCAGACCGTAAAGCCAAAGCGTTGCTGTCTGTATGTTAGTCAGACCGTGGACACAGTGCTAGTCACATGTATGTATGTTAGTCAGACCGTGGACACAGTGCTTGTCACATGTCTGTATGTTAGTCAGACCGTAAAGCCAAAGCGTTGCTGTCTGTATGTTAGTCAGACCGTAAAACCAAAGGGTTGCTGTCTGTATGTTAGTCAGACCGTGGACACTGCGTTACATGTCTGTATGTTAGTCACACCGTAAAGCCAAAGCGTTGCTGTCTGTATGTTAGTCAGACCGTAAAGCCAAAGCGTTGCTGTCTGTATGTTAGTCAGACCGTGGACACAGTGCTAGTCACATGTATGTATGTTAGTCAGACCGTGGACATAGTGCTAGTCACATGTCTGTATGTTAGTCAGACCGTAAAGCCAAAGCGTTGCTGTCTGTATGTTAGTCAGACCGTGGACACAGTGCTAGTCACATGTCTGTATGTTAGTCAGACCGTAAAGCCAAAGCGTTGCTGTCTGTATGTTAGTCAGACCGTGGACACCGTCTGGTCACGTGTCAGTGGACGCAATAAAAGCACACGCGAGCATGTATCGATTAAAGGACTTAGATCACGTGAGAGATGCCCGGATGCAGGGGATCTCGAGGGAGCGAGAGGATTGTCAGTTTTTGGTACCGTGCTACAAAGAATCGTCATAATAGAAAAAGTTTGAGCGCCCGATAAAAAATTCATGGGGACATCCATCAAATTTTACACGCTCGCCTTCACCAGTGCTACTGTTATGTAGGTTAAAAAAAATCAATCTAATCAGTAATTTACCTCGTTCATTCTTGAATTAAAACCAGTCCAGTTTTTTTTACCAAATCTATTTACTTTCGTGATGCAGCCGAAATGGCTTAAACTAGTTGAACTTTTTCATTCCCCGTTTGACCAGGTCGGTATCCCACAAACCCGGAGCATTAACATTTTATCAAGAGCCATTCTTCCTAGTATATATTGTGTACAACACAAAGTATATTGTTCTCTAGTCATCGATTTCAATCAGTTTACCACACACTATGGTGTTTAACTCAACAGAGAAATCAACACGCAAGTGGAATATTTTTTTCCCGTATTAACGACGTGTAACTTTAAAATTCTTTAACGTTCCCAATAGCAACCCAATTGGCTAAAATTCCCTTGCATATTTTTACGAATGTTTTTATCTTCCATATTTCCCACTTTCACCCCCCTTCCCCCACTTCCCCCGTGTCGTCAATTAAACACCATTCAATAACCACAAGATCGGGTTTATTAAAAACCTAGTGGTAAAAACATATCTTGGGGAGATTTCTCCAACTGATCAATCATCCATTCATCATCCAGCCAGAGCTGTCTGCTTCATCCATCCACAGCTGTGCGCATCATCCACCGTGAGCTGTCCACAGCTCCACTCGTGTACACAGATTATGCTCCCTTCACTCACAGGCGGACAAACAATTGCGCAATTAACACCATGTTTATTTATTCAATGTTTCCGCGGCAGAAACCGCACACGTAACGGTCAACATAACGGTCAACATAACGGGTTGTCTCCATCGCGTTGTTGGCAGGTCCACTAGCTTGTGTCAAATCGTTTGAGGTTATCCTTAATTATAACTTTTTTCCCCACCTGACCTTCTGTCAGCTCCTTGTTAGGCTAACAATAATTATACCTTAGAAAATAACGAATGGACCATCGTCATAGTAGGGGACGATTTAAAAAACAAATTCAATAAAGTCCTCACTTGTGTGTGTAGCGCAATAGAAAGTATTCAATTTGAAGACGAGATATAAATAATAATCTTCATAGCTGGATTAAAATCGATATTGAGAGCTAGATTGAGGTATTGTGGAGGTTAAAATATATTTTAACTATTCATAACATAAGCGGCTCATTCTACAAGCGACAAAACCCATCCCCCCCCCCCCCCAGCCAACAGACATCACGGTGTCCGACTGGATCCCCCTAAAATATTGAGGAAAATCTCCACAAGCGACGCATCTGTGAATATGTACACGTCAAGTTAACATGAAGAAGATCGATAATAGCCCAATCGGTATGCCATACAGAGATGTTCCACGTAGCGGTGTGGCCGGTTGGTGGGTGTACGGTATAAGTAAAATCCTCGTATAGCTGTAAGATGTATTGGGGATGGGAGGAAGATCCCACAGTAGGTATCCAGAATTAATCTACTTCATTACACTACTCCCTGTTTAGACCTTAACTAATTCAGTAACTCAGTATTTAAGCCACATGGGTCATTATTTGCTATAATTGCAGTCATATATTAACTAAGTCCTGACATCCTAAATACATTGTATCGCTTTTATGCTTGTTACTCCTGGGTGACCCTCCTTTCATCATCATCATCATTTCCCGTTCGTACTCAAGACACATGGTGCAGATGAATTAGAGTTAATCTCCTTTCTTACTTGAGTAAAACTTTGTTGATTTATGACAAAGTATAACAACAATAGTTAAAACATAAATTCAGTTGACCATACTAAACCTTATGCATGTATGGCTATGATGATAGGTTAATTTCTCCTAGAAATGTGCTTTACCCACAAACTGAAGGCTAAACTCCCAGGGATCCCATATTTAAGACAGCCTTATAAAACCTTGTGGATGTAATATGTTTAGTGGAAGAGAGCCCTAGATTGTCTGCCTGTAACCTGGTACCTGAAGTTTGACATTCCTCCAGCAACAACTGGGATGATAGAACTCATAGGCTCATGTTGTGGGCTCACATTCATGTTTGCTGTTGTCTTTAATTGTCTTCAAGACATGATCCTGTTGATGATGAATGAACTGTGCTAGATTCCCCCCAGCCCTCTGCCATTGTTTCATTGAGTAAATTGATAATGTGTTCCAGCTCTCAGCTGTCACTCTTGTAGAATGGAGGAAGAAAAATGCTGCAGTTTTGCTTTATATTGAAACTTTCCATCTTCCCTCACAATGTGCAAGCTTAGGAAACAATTTTTTGCACTCTGTTTAATTGAATACACATTTACATCCACTTTCTTATTGGATCAAATTTTCTTGCCCTCTTTTTATCCTCACCTTTAGGAAAGGCTGTATAGGTTTTGAGAAATATTTCCTTGATGCATTTTTTTTTTTTACATCACAGAAATATCTTTGTGTTAATTAACATTTCTAAGGAAAACATAAAGTAGTTTTTTAAGCATAAGATTATTGTATCTAGTAAAGCAGTAGTAAAGGTAATTCATGAGTTGAAATTCATGGTTCTTGTATTCTGCCTCAGTAATGAATGAGTAGATAGGTTCTTGCACTCTGCCTCAGTAATAAATGAGTAGGTTCTTGTATTCTGCCTCATTAATGAATTAGTAGATAGGTTCTTGTATTCTACCTCAGTAATGAATGAGTAGGTTCTTGTATTCTGCCTCATTAATGAATTAGTAGATAGGTTCTTGTATTCTACCTCAGTAATGAATGAGTAGATAGGTTCTTGCATTCTGCCTCCATAATTGTTAAAATTATACGGTTATTGTCTGAACATATTTAGGTAACAAAGCTTTTAGGCAATAACCATTTTATAAAATATTTAAATTTGAATAACTAAATTAAAAATAGTTCTAATATTTACACAGTTAGCCAGTTTATTGAACAAGATTTTATTGATTGCTTCCAACATTCTTAATCAAGAATGCTGTGCTGAGTGACATATGAATAGACCAACAGCAGACAGACATATTTATTGTGACAATCATGGAGCTTGTAGACAAATATACAAACATTTGATGGATAGAAATGTAAACATGTTTAATGCCACACATACAACACTGGTTTTCTCAATGTGAACCTAGATATTTTGTCTGTACTTTTCTCATTGCAAATGGCCTCAGAATGAAACAACAAAAAAACTGGCTGATTTTAATACATTTTTTAAACCCAATCCCCCACTCTATTTTTACCTTTGAAGAAAATTTCTTTTGTGGAAATAACATCAGTCTGACAAATGCTGTGAGGATCAGCCGCAGGAAAGATTACACCCACATTTATTTTGCCACATGTGGTGTTAAATAACCCCTATTAAACTCTCTGCTTTTTTCAAGGCTCTGTGACATCCAGGGGAGTTAATAGTGACAGTTGTTTAAGTATTATATCCCCTGTCCTAGATTACTCATATTAATCTTTGACCTTTACATATCTAAAGTTACATATTATAACACAGATTTAAATATTATGACTTACACGCTTGTATGCCAGATGTAATAGCAGTAAAAAATATTTTGTTGTTAACTGTTAATACTTCTGTAATTACTGATTATATTTTTCCTGCAACCCCCATGCCTAAGCCAGCTGGAGGATCTACTTCAAGAGATTAGAAAAACTTGTATAGGCTACCACCCTCATTTTAAAAAATGCAGACATATTTAACATAAGATGATGAATTGTAATTTTTAAAGGAAGAAATAAATTGACATTAAAATTAGTTTTCTTTATATGAGAAATATGGGTCAAGATTTTTTTTTTGTCTTGGAAGAGGTGTTGTAAAAAAATCATTTTCATTTACATCATTGGCCCTGGGGTGTGCTTTCAATTTGGAGCTGCCACCTTATTTTCAGCCCCCCCCCCCCCCTTCCCACCACCCACCCCCTCCCACCACAACTTCCTTCCTTTACATGGAGGGACGGTGCTGCTGAAGACAGACCTCTGCTCCACTACATCAACCCCACTGGCTAATGTAAACCACACAGTAGAATTGACCCACTGACTGTCTTTGTCTAACCCGATTGATTTGCTTAAGTTTTTTTTTAATTGATTTCATTGACTTTTTCAGACAACTTATGAGTTATCCTCAATTTGGCATTACCCCAAGCATTCCCGCTGGTAGTTACCAACAAGACTATCGCTATTATTCCAAGTTCAGCTCTGCTGGAAACCGCATGCAGAAGAAATTACAGCAGAGATGCACATGGCGCTGCACTGCATTAATACTTCTAGTTATGTGTGTGGGACTATTAGCATGCACAGTTTATTTTGCAGGTAGACGCACTATTTAAAACAGAAATTTTTTGTTTGGACTTTCAAATGCTATTTGTTAATTAGTCAAATAGGTTATTTTCTTTTTTTTTTGAGGTTCCAATAATTTATGAAACTTCAGTAATATTAGTGTAAAGTACCGTTTTTGTGTTAATTTTTTATTTTAAAAAACTTAACTTCTTCACATAAAGTAGCAAGAATGATAACTGACTTTGAATGATGGGACCAATACAATACTTGATTCCTTTTACCAGCTACTTCAATGTCTATGGAAGAGAAAGTGGAAAAAGACTGTACAACATTTTCCTCTGAGCACAGTAATCCTGGTCACCTTTCCCCCCCACAGAACAGAACATACAACAGATATGATCACACCAAATTCCCAGGTAACTACTCTACATTCTCCTTAGGGTCCTTCAGACAATCATCACTGAACTAATATATCTGCTCCATGCTGTAGTTGTTGACAGAAAGATTTCCTTTTTAAATAGCTTTTTGTTATCAGAGCTTCCCATAATTAAAATGAAAATATTGCATTGTCAAAAACTTGAAAGTTGTAGAGAAGTCTAATTCATGTTTATGTAGACAGACAGACAGAAAGCAGTGAAATATGTATGTATTAATCATGCCAGCTCTGCTTTAATTCTCTCAGTGTGCTCTGTTTCTAGTCTTAGCCAATGAAGTTAACCAAATGTAGATAATCTTCAGTAGTTTTTATCTAAGCATTAGTGAGCTGTGTATATTTTCTATTAAACTGTGTAACTTTGTCTTATAGGTGCCCATAGTTTGTATAAACCTAAAACAAAAAAAAATGCATGTGAAATAAATAAAATAAGCAAATCATCCACTCTTTTAAAATAATATTTCCATATTTGAAGATTGACTGGTACTTTTCAGGACACCATATGGGTTATGCAACCTCTGAACCTCCATCTGTTTTGATACCTGGTCGGTTAGCCTCCAAATCAGTGCCACCTGGTAAGATTCATTTATCACAGGCTTTAATTAATCTAATTAAATATTTTTCACTTTTTTGCACACAATATTTGGTCTGATATAAAGCTCACACACAAAAAGAATATTACATTAAATTAATTTTGAAAAGCTTTTATTATTTTACAATGTAATTTTTAAACACTATAAAAAAAAAAACAAGCAAAAAGAAATGAATTGTGTAAAAAAATATTTCAATCATAAATATTTAACTGACTTTTTTTAGCCCAGTGATTTTTTAGATTGTGAACTTTAAATGATTCTCTTTTTTAATTTAAATTAAAAAGAACCATTCACATGTTTTGTTTCACTTTCATTAATTTTTTTGTTTGAAGCAGCAAATGTTTGTCCTCCTTTAAAGCCTACATCCAACAACTGGTAATACTAAAAAATCCCACATTCAATTATCACTTAACAAATTGCTCTACTCTAGGCTCTCACATTTCCATGATTAATGCCCTCAGTTAACCCACTACACCCTTCTCACTGCTCTCCCCTACATACACCCATCCCCCTCACTGCCCTCCCTTACATACACCCTTTCCCTTCATTTCCCAATTCACCCTGGGGAAATTCCCCTCATCTTCAGAGTACAGTTTAAAAATAGCATTGTTCAATAGAATCAATTTGTTTCAAATGTCAATATTTAATTAAATCCAACAATACCAGCATTTATCTAGTGTATGCGATTGCACATTCAACGCTGTTTTACCTGCATTTGTATAACTGTTTAACTTTTATACCCTGACCTCAAATGGATATTTTATTGGCGATGTATGTCTTTACTGAAAAAAAATACATTTCTCTGTATTCTCTATTCACAGGTTATTGAAACACTAAAGTTTCAACATTTCTCTGTATTCTCTATTCACATGTTATTGAAACACTATCCTCAAGTTTCAACATTTCTCTGTATTCTCTATTCTCATGTTATTAAAACACTTTCATAAAGTTTCAGCATTTCTCTGTATTCTCTATTCATCTGTTATTGAAACAATAAAGTTTCAATATTTTTCTGTATTCTCTATTCTCATGTTATTGAAACATTACCATAAAGTTTCAGCATATTTCTGTATTCTATATTCACATGTTATTGAAACACTATCATAAATTTCAACATTTCTCTGTATTCTCTATTCACATGTTATTGAAACACTAAAGTTTCCGCATTTCTCTGTATTCTCTATTCTCATGTTATTGAAACACTATCATAAAGTTTCAGCATTTCTCTGGATTCTCTATTCATCTGTTATTGAAACACTATCATAAAGTTTCAACATTTCTCTGTATTCTCTATTCATCTGTTATTGAAACACTATCATAAAGTTTCAACATTTCTCTGTATTCTCTATTCACATGTTATTGAAACACTATCATAAAGTTTCAACATTTCTCTGGATTCTCTATTCATCTGTTATTGAAACACTATCATAAAGTTTCAACATTTCTCTGTATTCTCTATTCACATGTTATTGAAACACCTACATAAAGTATCAACATTTCTCTGTATTCTCTATTCACATGTTATTGAAACAATTTCATAAAGTTTCAACATTTCTCTGTATTCTCTATTCACATGTTATTGAAACAATTTCATAAAGTTTCAACATTTCTCTGTATTCTCTATTCACATGTTATTGAAACACCTACATAAAGTTTCAACATTTCTCTGTATTCTCTATTCACATGTTATTGAAACACCTACATAAAGTATCAACATTTCTCTGTATTCTCTATTCACATTTAGCAGCTAGCTTGAGGTGATTCTGCATGAAAATATGTCTGTTGCCATAGTTACCTCATCCCAAGTATAGCTATTTTTAACACATCCCATTGGCATATTAAGTTTAAAATCTATACTTTTCAACATGAACATTTTTTTTTACTATCAAATAACATTGGCCAGTTGCCTTCACTGATTATTAGTGAGGGGAGTATTTAAATAATTGTACTTATTAATCTTGAATCCTCAGGTTTAAATTACCATGTCATTCATTAGGATTGTAATTATGTAAGGAAGGAAGCTGGTTGTCCGTAAAATTAAACTTCAGTTGGGCAAAAAAGCAATTGAAGATTGTAAAAATAAAATAGAATGTACCCATTTGTCAAAGTGGCATTTTAAGCAACTCACTTGTGCTTATCTCAGAGGCTGACTATCTCTCCCATCTTAGCTTTTATCTTTCTGACAGTTACAGAATATGAAGAAGAATTAAACATATTTTTAGCTGTTCTTCCCTGAAACTCTTTAAAAAAGGCTGTTTATGGCTCTGTGATGGACTGGAAAAGATGATAAATGACCGGAGATGTTTTCATTTTTTTTTTTCAAACATCCTTTGAAAGCTCAATCAAATTTTTTGTTCACTTACCCACATTTTGAAAACAGTCTTCCATTATGTTAGACAGATTTATGTTAATTTTTTTTTCTGTTAGTTTAATTAATTATTTCCTCCCTGGCAATACCACACTTGTAGTTTTTATTTCAATAACTTAAGGTACCTACTTATTTTATTTTTTTTGGAATGATAATTGGTTTTTAGAATTTGTTCCTTGGTTTAAAACTTAAACAATTGTACTTGTCCTTTATAACTTGTATTTATCCTCCATAACAGAACTTTTATAATGTACTAGCCGACCCGCGGTGTATCATACGTCGCTATTTAGTTGTTTTTTCTACTTTTCAGTAATTCATAATTTGTGAATTTGACAGTACCAATGCTGCCACTGAAAATATTTTCTTTAAACCCCCATTTCCCCCCCCCCCCCCCCCCCCCCCCCGTGAAAGAAGCCTCCTCTTAGTTACCTCCTCTAAGTTTAAAATAGTTTCAAACTCAATTATCTGCCCCTAATAGCCGTCACCAAACTAAACATTTAGCGTGAACTACAACTCACCTGACCATGTGAGGGGGGTGGGGGTGGGGGTGAGGGGGGTGGGGGGGGTTTGGGTGGTAGCGATAGAGAGGAAGAGAGGGGACTGCAAGGCGCGCGCTTGCAGCTTGTTTTCTAACGGCTCCCAGAAGAGAATTATATATATAGATATGTTAAAAGATGAATGAATGTAATTGACCTTGTAGTAGAGCCATAGCCCACCTAACCAAAATCCTGATCTGGTTGTAGGAACCTTCTGGATGAATCAACTGGAGCAGAAGTCTGCTGGAAGTGTCAAGTTGAACCTGTCTGTCCCCAGTGATGCAAAGGTTGGCATCTATGGGAGAAAGGGGATGCCACCCTCACACATACAGTTTGACTTCTTCAAGGTTATAGATGGCATCAGGATGGGGGTCAGATCAAAGAGAGCAGTGGTAGGTTCATCAGTACATTGGTTTAGTTGGACAATGGCTACTTTGTATTGGTTTAGTTGGACAATGGCTACTTTGTATTGGTTTAGTTGGACAATGGCTACTTTGTATTGTTTTAGTTGGTGAATAACTAATGTGTAATGTTTTAGCTGGGGAATGACTACTTTTTATTGATTTATCTTGGGAATGACTACTTTGTATTGTTTTAGCTGGGAATGACTACTTTGTATTGTTTTAGCTGGGGAATGACTACTTTGTATTGATTTATCTTGGGAATGACTACTTTGTATTGTTTTAGCTGGGAATGACTACTTTGTATTGTTTTAGCTGGGAATGACTACTTTGTATTGTTTTAGCTGGGAATGACTACTTTGTATTGTTTTAGCTGGGAATGACTACTTTGTATTGTTTTAGCTGGGAATGACTACTTTGTATTGTTTTAGCTGGTGAATAACTAATGTGTAATGTTTTAGCTGGTGAATAACTAATTTGTAATACTTTAGCTGGGGAATGACTACTTTTTATTGATTTATCTTGGGAATGACTACTCTGTAATACTTTAGCTGGGGAATGACTACTCTGTAATACTTTAGCTGGGGAATGACTACTTTGTATTGATTTATCTTGGGAATGACTACTTTTTAATATTTTAGCTGGGGAATGACTACTTTGCCCGAGACACTGCTCTGGTACAGTACATGGATAGAGGCAACTGGTTCATTGGAATATTCAATGACAGAGAGACTTATCAGTCCATTGTTCTAACTGCTACTGCACATGGTGAGTCACAGAAATTATAACCTCATTAGTTAGTTAATTAGAGCTTTTTTGATTACATATTAAAATTTGATCTCTCTACATAATTAAAAGAAATATGTAGATGAAATGGAATTTATTTATTTAGCATAAAAATATGCGCAATTCTTTTTAAAAAAAAAAATTAGCAATGGAAACAAATTGTCCGAATGATTGCCATGGGAATGGAGAATGCAAGGATCGCATCTGTCGCTGCTTCCCTGGTTATACAGGCTGGGACTGCTCACAGGGTAAGGAATCATTTCTCACAATCTACATTTTAAATTTGATTATTTACAAAAATTTTAAGCTGCATCATAAAACATTCTTTTGTATAGAAAGTTTTCTTCAATAAAGATAAATTCCTGTACCATAATCTTATGGTCTTTAAACAAGTTGTGCACAAACCATTCTTGACAGTTACTACATCTTTTTATTTGATTGTATGCACACAGTGAATGTGAGTTTTCATTGGAACTAACTTCCGTGATGTTTTAAACTGCTGGCATTTTATTTCATGAAAACTGGATTCCAAAGCCTAATACAGTCTAAACAAGCTAATGTAATTCCGTATGACTAAAGCTATTGGATTCCAAACCTTGATGCACTACATAGCTATAGTGGCCAACCTAATTGGATAGGACAGAAACTGAATAGCACTCCGTGACCACATCTTTTACAGTGACAATGGATTTGGTCACTGGCAATGGAAATACACATGTAACCTCTAGAGGATTCCTCAAAGTGGTTTTTTGGGTTTAAGCTGTTTAGATACATATCAAGCAGCATTCATCACCAAGGCTAATTAGTAATTTGTGAATGTTAGGAATATAAAGTTTCACAAGACAGATTAAATTCTTTATGGGATGAGTCAGTGGTCTCCGGGGTATTGTCAGTAACTCCCCGTGGGTGGGGGCTGGATTGTATCAACCAGTCTGAGAACACAGTTTTTACACATCTCTTGTGCTGCTCTATACAGATCAGCTGTGCCCTACTCATATACAGGCTTAGAAGAAAATTATTTCAATAAAAAAATAAACATGTTGTAGATATAATTGCATAGTTTTTAACCACCATGTGATTTAGAAAGTATTGATTTTTTAAATGTCAGACAACATTATCTATTTTTAAAAGACTGTTATCTTCCTTACTTCTAGACAAAAAATTTAGCAGATGTGTTTCACCCATCATAGAAACCTTTTTATTTTAACAACTGATGTAGTCCAACCTTCATACAAACCTTTTTATTCTAAAAACTGACATAGTCCAACCATCATACTAACCTTTTTATTATAACAATTGATGTATTCCAACCATCATACAAACCTGTTTTTATAGATACCTATTTATTCTAACTTGACAGGTGTATTCCACCCATCATACAAACCTTTTTATTATAATGATTAATGTATTCCACCCATCATACAAACCAGTTTTTATACATACCTATTTATTCTAACTTGACAGGTGTATTCCACCCATAATTTGGACACAGACCTGAGGTGATATGTAACTAATCTCTAAACTTGTTTTGTCCAGGTGTGTGCCCACTCCTGTGTAGTGGTAACGGAGTCTACCTGAGGGGACAGTGTCAGTGCAACCAGGGCTGGAAAGGTGTGGAGTGTGACCTGAGGGAATCTGAGTGTGCTGTGCCCAGCTGTAACAACAATGGTCATTGCATCAATGGACAGTGTGTGTGCTTCACAGGCTTCCAAGGATCAGATTGTGCCATAGGTCAGTCACCTTGCTCTAGGCGTACACTTTGTGTTCAGAATGTACCACTTCTGCTTTGTATTTTAAAATACCTATATATTCTCATCAAACCTCAAGCTCAATTACTTACTAAATTTTTAACCAAAATATAAAAACTTTTCTTTAGCATATTTAAGAAAACAACTTGAACATGTCTAAGCCAATAATACTTCAATAAGGTCACCATGTTAAACTGGAAGAAAAAAAAATCATTACAACTTTTATAATGTATGAAGTGGAGAACATATGGGTACACCATTCCTCTTTCTATGCCATTAATATTTTGCTTCATTCTGCACAGATTCTCTCTCACAAATCATTGTACACATTTTTACTTGCTTTTTAATTGTTTTTTGCATGCAATGTTTATGTGTTAAGAACTCCCAATTTATGTTATTTGTTATTTCTGTTAGATATGATCTATTTTTAGAGTTGAATCATGTGGCCAGTCTGTGTTGAACCAGTTCTTACAGGGCCACTGTTTGTTTTTTTACCTCTGTCTGCTTATTTTAAATTATTTTTATAATTAAGAATCTTTTCAATATATATAGCCTAAACAATCATGTCATTGTTTGTGTATTTAGATTTTACACAATCAATGGAAGCCAATTTCAAAAAGAACAATTACGCTAATGTCACTTTGTCAGGTGTTGTATTTTGATGAAATATGAACCAATCCTTCACAAATTTAGGTTGAATAATCTAAATTCTGGTGTCTATGGCGGATGATCTGATATGAACATTTTGAAAACAATTTTTTTACAGATAATTTTTGTTTAACATACATTCTAGTCTTTGTTTAAGATTATTGTTTTGTAGAACTGTCTCATTTTTATAGCTTTATTTTTTTTCAAGCAGAGTAGACAATAAGCTGGTAAAAATATAAACATTTATCTTTAATCAAAATGATGTAAAACTCCTGATTTATTTGCAGCGTTGCCGTTAATATTACAGTTAAGCCTAGAAATAACTAGAAGCTATGTTAAATAATCAGTGTTGTTTTAATTCCCTGCCATTAGGCAGCCCAACATATTTTCTTCTCTGATTCTGCCTTTAGGATGGCCTGTTCACCATATCTTTTCTGAGCAGTTCATTTCTTTCAATTTATGTACTAACAGAGTAATACTAGACCTCACAAATAACCAAGGCAACTATAACTCAACAATGTTATCCTAGTTTCATTGGAAAAATCTTTGCACCATACCATTACACTTCCAAAACCATTGTCTACTTTAGTGGACTGTTTGATGCCTAATTGTTCCGGAAATGGCGCGTGTATTCTGGGCACATGCCACTGCTTTAGAGGGTTTAAAGGCCCTGACTGTAAGATGGAAGATAAGATCAATGTGACCCAGCTGTGCTCCAAAAACTGCTCAGGGAATGGGCTGTACGATGTGGACACCAGCCGCTGTGATTGTAAGCGCCATTTCACTGGCATCAGCTGTGAGACAGGTAAACAATCAATACAACCTTTTTAAAACTGGTATTGATTGATTATAGATCTCTTCTAATCTACTGCTATATCAGTTCAATGAGGATTGCTGATTAATAACATCCTTTTGATTTGGTAGTGATTTGTGATGATGACTAAAGGCCTGATGAGTGTACTTTTTCTTCAGTTATTTGCTTGCCTGTTTTCTTGTATCCTACATTAAAAAAATGCACTTTGTAAACAAAATGTAGTATTTGATCTACTCAATACAGTGAAAGGACGGACAGGTTTAATTTCCCAGCTTACACAGTGTAGTCTAAAAGAACGTTCTGTGATAGAAATGATTTTGTTTAACCAACTAGCATGCTGATTGGTGGTGGCCAGAACAAATTACATTGAAGCTGCTATTTATTTACTTTTTTTTATGCAGCAGTCTACTCATTTATTTTGTTGGCCACGTTTAATTACATGGGATACACAAATGTACTTTACCTTATAATTAATTCAATATCCAAAAGACCTAACTGCACCCAGCTTAAGTTGACCAATCCTGAATTAAAATTAAATTAATTAAACCTAACGACGTAAGCCCATCTCTCTTAGCCAGGTATACAGCAATGTAATTATAATAGTTCAAAATTTTAATTATGTCAAGGAATTCCTTGGTTTACTATTGTGGTTATCATAAATATGTATATAATATTCTTTCTTTACTCTTTATTCACTGTTATATATTGTATTTACTTGTATACTAGCGCCAGTTTGTAGCATTATTTTTGCTTCTTTTATGTATTGTTAGCTGCTTATTTTTATTTTGCTTTGCTGTATTCTATTGTTTTAATTAATACTTTTTCTCACCATGTAACATTCTTAGAATTTTTACATGATATTTTTACAGTTTTAATGCATGCTAAATATGTTAGACTATCAAATCTGTGCACTTAATTTAATTTCATTGAAACACTAGAGCTATTGTTGTATAATATTTCATTTTATCAGTTAAAATTTCCTAAAGCACAATTTTCAATATTAAAATCTTAGCTATAGATTTTCAATTATTACTGTTTTAAGAGTGTAGTAAGACAATAATACTGACTGAACAGTTGACGTAGGTTTTAGTTAAAAAATGTGGTTGCATAATTTCAGAAATTTAAAAATGTGGTTGCATAATTTCAGAAATTTAAAAATGTGGTTGCATAATTTCAGAAATTTAAAAATGTGGTTGCATAATTTCAGAAATTTAAAAAACTGGTATGTCTTATTTCAGAAATTTAAAAATGTGGTGCGTCTTATTTCAGAAATTTAAAAATGTGGTGCGTCTTATTTCAGAAATTTGTCGCCTGGAGTGTATACATGGGAGGTGTGAGAACCAGCGTTGTGTGTGCGCCTCAGGTTGGGCAGGTGCTCTCTGTGACCAGCTGGAGTGTAACCACAGGTGTGACCTACATGGCCAGTGCAACAATGGCTCCTGTATGTGTGACAAGGGCTGGAATGGGAAACACTGCACACTCAGTGAGTCTTTACAACCCTGGTATGGGAAACACTGCACACTCAGTGAGTCTTTACAACCCTGGTATGGGAAACACTGCACACTCAGTGAGTCTTTACAACCCTGGTATGGGAAACACTGCACACTCAGTGAGTTTTTACAACCCTGGTACAGTTCCAGCAATGTTGGTCCTTCCCCACACAGCCTAGTGATAACACATTGTTCGACCACAAAACTTCTTTTCAGAAAAAAATAAAATATATATATATATACATATTTCATATTGGAAACTAGTCTTAGTTTATTATGTTTGAGTTCAAATAGCATAATAATTTACAAAAATAAATAAGAAATTCTACATATTCATTTGAATTACTTTCATTTTTTATATCACTATATTAGTTGTGTTATAAATATATTGTGTTATATATTGTGTTATATATATTTAAGCAACATCAGATTCATTTCAAATTATTTTAATTTTCAAAAACTATATTGCCAGTAATGCTGAAATTAATTTTCTAGTGAAAAAAATTACTAGTGATAGTACAACAAGAAAAACAGAATTAAAATGTATTTCCTGCTTATGCCAGTATATTTAAAATCATATTACCAGCAAGACTTCTCTTACTGCACATAAATAAATCCACTTAAGTCACTTTCAGCACATTAGAGAATACCTCATAAGAAAAATGTTGGGTGCATAGGACTGTGTTAACTGCACTATAGATCTATCATAGTAGCTTGACTGTTAGTGTGTAAGTTTGTTATACAAACCTGAACTGCCTCCTATGAATATTTGATTTATTTGACAGTTGACTTAAACTTCAATGCAACCATAACAACCTGAACTACCCCCTTTGAATGTTGGATTTATTTGACAGTTGACTTAAACTTTAATGCAACCATAACAACCTGAACTACCTCCTATGAATATTAAAGTTACTTTGACAGTTGACTTGAACTTCAATATAACCTTAACTTATATACTACCTGAACCCTATGAATGTTAATGTTACTTTGACTGTTGACCTTAACTACAGTCATAAGACAGCTTGTATAAAAGCATGTCCCTCCCCAGATGGCTGCCCTGGTGACTGCTATGGACATGGACACTGCAGGAGATACAAAGAAGGCTGGAGGTGTGAATGTAAAGATGGATGGAAGGGAGAGGATTGTAACTTGGCTAAAGAAACTTCTTGTTCGGATAGGGTGGATAATGATCATGGTGAGTAGTGTGCTACAGAAGATAGTCTTTACTTCATGAGTTGTTGCCAGGACAGAGGCATAGCTTGTCTGACCACACTTAACTAGATCCAAACCAGTTGGTGTGGTGCACTTTCATCATAGTTTTCTGTTCTGTGCCCAAGACACATGGGGCAAATGAAGTCAAGTTTATCTGTTTCAATGACCTTGGCATATGAGGGATAGTGTAGTCTGCGCTGTGCCCAAAGGGTTTGTTTCCCTGAGTCAGGTACCCATCAAATTTGGCTGAATTCATGGAAGTCTTTCAGACTTGAACCTGGGATCCAAAATTGAGACTTTCCACCATCCATCCTGTTCCTTACTGGTTCGCTTAGGTACAAATAGTAGCTAATGGGTCTTATTGCTGACAACAAGAGATGGAGAACAGTTGGATTTAACATCCTCTTGAGTTGTGCTTGGCTCAAAAGCTGTAGGGAAACAGATAATGACTGAGGTTGATTTGAATGACAACCAGTGCTAAGCTCTATCAAGAGACAATTTAACTTGCCTGCATACATTTCAGATGGTTTAGTGGACTGCTTGGACCCTGACTGTTTTAACTTGCCTGCATACATTTCAGATGGTTTAGTGGACTGCTTTAACTTGCCTGCATACATTTCAGATGGTTTAGTGGACTGTTTTAACTTGCCTGCATACATTTCAGATGGTTTAGTGGACTGTTTAACCTGCATACATTTCAGATGGTTTAGTGGACTGCTTTAACTTGCATACATTTCAATGGTTTAGTGGACTGCTTTAACTTGCCTGCATACATTTCAGATGGTTTAGTGGACTGCTTTAACTTGCCTGCATACATTTCAGATGGTTTAGTGGACTGTTTTAACTTGCCTGCATACATTTCAGATGGTTTAGTGGACTGCTTTAACTTGCCTGCATACATTTCAGATGGTTTAGTGGACTGTTTTAACTTGCCTGCATACATTTCAGATGGTTTAGTGGACTGCTTTAACTTGCCTGCATACATTTCAGATGGTTTAGTGGACTGTTTTAACTTGCCTGCATACATTTCAGATGGTTTAGTGGACTGTTTTAACTTGCATACATTTCAGATGGTTTAGTGGACTGCTTTAACTTGCATACATTTCAATGGTTTAGTGGACTGCTTTAACTTGCCTGCATACATTTCAGATGGTTTAGTGGACTGCTTTAACTTGCCTGCATACATTTCAGATGGTTTAGTGGACTGCCTTGACCCTGACTGCTGCTCATTTGAAGCCTGTGTCAAGAGCCAGTACTGCCAGGCCTCACCTGACCCTAAAGAGATCCTGTTACGTAACAACGCTCCAGCTCCCACAGCTTCCTTCCTGGACAAGATGAGATTTCTGATAGAGGAGAACAGTGTACAGATGGACGCACCACGGAATTCTTTCAATGAAAGGTAGCAGACTTGTTCATTTTTCTTTCTAAAAAGTTGGATAATTAAAACTACTTCAGTGAAAACATTACTTAAATACCAAATTACCTTTCTCAGTGAAGTATCAGTTAAACTACTGATGTTATTTATTTCAGCCAAGTGTCAGTTAAACTACTAGTGTTATTTATTTCAGCCAAGTGTCAGTTAAACTACTAGTGTTATTTATTTCAGCCAAGTGTCAGTTAAACTACCCATGTTATTTATTTCAGCCAAGTGTCAGTTAAACTACTAATGTTATTTATTTCAGCCAAGTGTCAGTTAAACTACTAATGTTATTTATTTCAGCCAAGTGTCAGTTAAACTACTAATGTAATTTATTTCAGCCAAGTGTCAGTTAAACTACTAATGTTATTTATTTCAGCCAAGTGTCAGTTAAACTACTGATGTTATTTATTTCAGCCAAGTGTCAGTAATTCGAGGTCGTGTCCAAACCCCAGATGGCACCCCACTGATTGGTGTAAGGGTAGGCGTGGTCACACAGCCCTTGTATGGCTTCACTCTCACTAGAGAAGAAGGACAGTGAGTTGTTTTATTCCAACCCTTATGTCAAATCTGAATTTATCACACACGACACCCACACACACATGTAGTTGAAAATAAGTGAACAAATATATTCAGTGGGTTAATTTCACCATCTCTTGATCTTTTCTTGATTCATATGTAAAATATTTGGTGATAGTCCTAATGTTTCTCACCTAGCCTTAAGTTTCCTGTGGTAGAAGTGTAATAAAATAATTATGTTTGTTTCAGGTTTGACATTCTTGTGAATGGTGGAGGGTCTGTTACCCTGGAGTTTGTCAGAGATCCTTTCATCACACAAATGGCCAGCGTCCTGGTACCATGGAACCAAATCATCACCATGGACTCTATTGTCATGAACATTGAGAGCAGGGCCAACATGAAGGCTGGCACCACCTGCTCCAACATGGAGAACAACCACGACCACTACCTGCTGCGTCCTGTTGTGCTCAGTACCTGGCAACACACGCAGCTGGGAGCTTGTCCAGAGAGGAGTACCATCATACCTGAGTCACAGGTTAGTACCATCATACCTGAGTCACAGGTTAGTACTTAGCTCCATCATACCTGAGTCACAAGTCAGTACCATCACACCTGAGTCACAGGTTAGTACCATCATACCTGAGTCACAGGTTAGTATCATCATACCTGAGTCACAGGTCAGTACCATCATACCTGAGTCACAGGTTAGTATCATCATACCTGAGTCACAGGTTAGTACTTAGTACCATCATACCTGAGTCACAGGTCAGTACCATCATACCTGAGTCACAGGTTAGCACCATCATACCTGAGTCACAGGTCAGTACCATCATACCTGAGTCACAGGTTAGCACCATCATACCTGAGTCACAGGTTAGTACCATCATACCTGAGTCACAGGTCAGTACCATCATACCTGTCATAGGTCAGTACCATCACACCTGAGTCACAGGTTAGTACCATCATACCTGAGTCACAGGTCGGTACCATCATACCTGTCACAGGTCAGTACCATCACACCTGAGTCACAGGTCAGTACTTTAGCACCATCATACCTGAGTCACAGGTCAGTACCATCATACCTGTCACAGGTCAGTACCATCACACCTGAGTCACAGGTCAGTACTTTAGCACCATCATACCTGAGTCACAGGTTAGTACTTTAGCACCATCATACCTGAGTCACAGGTTAGTACCATCATACCTGAGTCACAAGTCAGTACCATCATACCTGAGTCACAGGTTAGTACCATCATACCTGAGTCACAAGTCAGTACCATCATACCTGAGTCACAGGTCAGTACCATCATACCTGAGTCACAGGTTAGTATCATCATACCTGAGTCACAGGTCAGTAATTAGCACCATCATACCTGAGTCACAGGTCAGTAATTAGCACCATCATGCCTGAGTCACAGGTAAGTACCATCATACCTGAGTCACAGGTCAGTAATTAGCACCATCATACCTGAGTCACAGGTCAGTAATTAGCACCATCATACCTGAGTCACAGGTTAGTACCATCATACCTGAGTCACAGGTCAGTACCATCATACCTGAGTCACAGGTCAGTACCATCATACCTGAGTCACAGGTCAGTACCATCATACCTGAGTCACAGGTCAGCACCATCATACCTGAGTCACAGGTCAGTAATTAGCACCATCATACCTGAGTCACAGGTCAGTAATTAGCACCATCATACCTGAGTCACAGGTCAGTACCATCATACCTGAGTCACAGGTCAGTAATTAGCACCATCATACCTGAGTCACAGGTTAGTACCATCATACCTGAGTCACAGGTCAGTACCATCATACCTGAGTCACAGGTCAGTACCATCATACCTGAGTCACAGGTCAGTACCATCATACCTGAGTCACAGGTAAGTACCATCATACCTGTCACAGGTTAGCACCATCATACCTGTCACAGGTTAGCACCATCATACCTGAGTCACAGGTAAGTACCATCATACCTGTCACAGGTTAGCACCATCATACCTGAGTCACACGTTAGCTCCATCATACCTGTCACAGGTAAGTACTTTAGCTCCATCATACCTGCCACAGGTCAGTACTTTAGCTCCATCATACCTGAGTCACAGGTTAGTACCATCATACCTGTCACAGGTTAGCACCATCATACCTGAGTCACAGGCAGTACTTAGCACCATCATACCTGAGTCACAGGTTAGTACCATCATACCTGAGTCACAGGTCAGTACTTTAGCTCCATCATACCTGCCACAGGTCAGTACTTTAGCACCATCATACCTGAGTCACAGGTTAGTACCATCATACCTGTCACAGGTTAGCACCATCATACCTGTCACAGGCTAGCACCATCATACCTGAGTCACACGTTAGTACCATCATACCTGAGTCACAGGTCAGTACTTTAGCTCCATCATACCTGCCACAGGTCAGTACTTTAGCACCATCATACCTGAGTCACAGGTTAGTACCATCATACCTGTCACAGGTTAGCACCATCATACCTGAGTCACAGGTTAGTACCATCATACCTGAGTCACAGGTCAGTACTTTAGCTCCATCATACCTGCCACAGGTCAGTACTTTAGTACCATCATACCTGAGTCACAGGTTAGTACCATCATACCTGAGTCACAGGTTAGTACTTTAGCTCCATCATACTTGAGTCTCAGGTTAGTACTTTAGCACCATCATACCTGCCACAGGTCAGTACTTTAGCTCCATCGTACCTATCACAGGTTAGTACTTTAGCACCATCATGCATGTCACAGGTTAGTACTTTAGCACCATTATACCTGAGTCACAGGTCAGTACTTTAGCACCATTATACCTGAGTCACAGGTCAGTACTTTAGCACCATTATACCTGAGTCACAGGTTAGTACTTTAGCACCATCATACTGAGGCATAAATTCATTTTGTGTTAAAAAGATAGCAGTTATAAAATAACATATGGATGCACTCATTAAAGTACAAATGAAATATTTCAATATCATTAAAAATGTAACTGATGTAATGACAACATAGTTTCTCATAGCTCCCATCCAATTTTGTTTAATTACAACTAATACCCTTTGTATTCAGGTGCTTCAGGAAAGTCAGAACATCCCAGGTACAGATGTGCACCTGGTGTATCACAGCTCTGAATCCTCTGGCTACATGTCCCTGATCATGATCCAGATGACCCCCAGCAACATCCCCCACACCTTGTCCATGGTCCACCTCCGTGTGTCCGTACAAGGTGTGGAGTTCAAGAAAATATTTGAGGCTGACCCTAACCTCAAGTACACCTTTGCCTGGGACAGGCTCAATGCTTATAAACAGAAGGTCTATGGCATTGTTACAGCCAGAGGTTGGTCACACTTGTACAACAATTTTCTGCTAACATTCTCTGACTATGTTTATTGCTGAAATATAGACATTATTTTTTAACTATTAGAAAAGCAACATATTTCTGTATTTCATCCTTTTTCAAACTTTAGTGTACGTGGGCTATCAGTACCTGAGCTGTGACCACATCTACTGGGAAACTCGTAGTGCCACTCTGAATGGATATGACATGACAGCCTCACATATAGGTGGATGGAACCTGGACATACACCACACCTACAACTATCAAGAAGGTAACATTTTATTTTAGGCTTTTTGCCCTCAACTCCTATTTACTTTTTAGTGCAATTTCCATTCTGGAGAATTGCGTTTATTAACCCGTCATTTCTGGATGTATGGATGAATGTGTGTCCGCAGCTTTAAGTCGTATCTCCTCCTCAACGAAGCAATATCGAGGACTAGTTCTAAAAGCAATTATGTTAAGCAAGTTACGAGGATGAACATAGGCCAAAAAAATTCCGGGTTTCTTTCATGGATTTCCCAGAAAAGCCAAAAAAACTCGAAAAAATGCAGTTTTTGGCCCATATCTCGGCAACCAGACCACTTAGCGACTTGAAACATGTACCAATCGATTCCTGCCATAATTTAGAACGATATTGCCGAAGAAAGTTTTCAAAAATATCCTTTCGTTCGGTCACAAAAAAATTTTTGAATTAATTAAAATTTGGACCGAATTAGTAGGCATTTTTATCCAACCACACCACACACGTCATCACGTTCAATAGCTGCGCCATCACGTTCAATGGCTGCGACATCACGTTCGGTAGCTAGGCGTGCAATGGTTTTTAGTCAGGTAACTCTATTGTAAATAAAACATGTAAAATACTGAAAAAAAAATTAATAAAAAATGTTTTAATAACTAACCAATGGTTTTACTAACCCTGCTCTTGATTTACGCTACAACAGAGCTTCTTTTAGATAACATAAGGAAATTGTGCTAAAATTGTCACTAGACTTTTTAATTACCTTGTTTTGTGAAATGGTAATACTCTCTAACTAAAAAATTTATTAAACAATTGCCCAGAATTTTTACTTATCTTTTTATCTTTTTATTATTGTGAGAAGGCCAAAGTCTATACCTAAATTTTAAAAAAAACCTAACATAAATCCCATTACTTCACCTCCAGGCATCCTGCACAAAGGAGACGGCACTAATATATACCTGAAAGAAAAACCCAAGAAGATCATTAACATACTGGGTAGTGGACAGAGAAGAAAGCTGACCTGTGATGCTTGTAATGGGAAAGCTATGGACAACAGCCTGCTGAGTCCAGTAGCACTGGCCTCAGGTCTAGATGGCAGTCTGTATGTGGGGGACTACAACTTCATCAGGAAACTCTCACCACTGAGGGAAGAGATTGCCAACATTCTAGAGATCAGGTTGGTCTTAACAACCACTAAATACTTTATTACACACCTACAATAGCACAAACTTTATTATTATATACACTAAACAAAGAACACTAATTTATTATACACCTAAAACAAATATCAACTTTTTTTTATCCTCCTAAAAGAATTGTGCACAAATTTATTATAGTTGGCCACAAATCTACAAAACCATAGCATTAAAAAACACTAGCATTAAAAAAACACCACTTTTCGTATTTAAATTTACCAGTTTTATGGTACAGTGGCCAAGGAACATAAAAAATGTATCTATCAGACCTTTTACATAAGTCAAAAATACAAAACAAATAATCAGATACACAGAGGATGTCTACCAGTAGTATTTGAATTATTTTTTTAAACTCATTGACAATGAAAACCTTGTCCCCCCAGCACGATGGTAACACCCTACAAGTTCTACATGACAGTAAGCCCAGTGGATGGCAGGCTGTACATATCTGACTTCATGAGCCACAAGATCATCCGTGTGAGAACCATGGGACCTGTGCCAGACCTGGCTGATAATTCGGAGGTGGTCGCTGGCAATGGGGAGGAGTGTACCCCAGGGGAGACTGACCTCTGTGGTGATGGTGGACCTGCAGTCAATGCCAGACTTAGATACCCTAAAGGTAGAACTTTTGTTGGGGTCATAGGTCAATGTCAGACTTAGATACCCTAAAGGTAGAACTTTTGTTGGGGTCAATGTCAGACTTAGATACCCTAAAGGTAGAACTTTTGTTGAGGTCATAGGTCAATGTCAGGCTTAGATACCCTAAAGGTAGAACTTTTGTTGGGGTCATAGGTCAATGCCAGGCTTAGATACCCTAAAGGTAGACCTTTTGTTGGGGTCATAGGTCAATGTCAGGCTTAGATACCCTAAAGGTAGAACTTTTGTTGGGGTCATAGGTCAATGCCAGGCTTAGATACCCTAAAGGTAGAACTTTTGTTGGGGTCATAGGTCAATGCCAGGCTTAGATACCCTAAAGGTAGAACTTTTGTTGGGGTCATAGGTCAATGTCAGGCTTAGATACCCTAAAGGTAGAACTTTTGTTGGGGTCATAGGTCAATGCCAGGCTTAGATACCCTAAAGGTAGAACTTTTGTTGGGGTCATAGGTCAATGCCAGGCTTAGATACCCTAAAGGTAGAACTTTTGTTGGGGTCATAGGTCAATGTCAGTCTTAGATAAAGGTAGAACTTTTGTTGGGGTCATAGGTCAATGTCAGGCTTAGATAAAGGTAGAACTTTTGTTGGGGTCATAGGTCAATGTCAGGCTTAGATAAAGGTGTTATATTAAGTTCAGTACTTTACTATATTTTGCCCTTGAGATATTTGTCTGAGATCATCTAACCATTAAATTCCAATTTCTTGCTGTTGCTGATGTTCTTTTTCTTCCTTATTCCCTAGGTATTGCCATTAGCAAGGATGGTATCATCTATGTAGCAGATGGTCCCAACATCAGGAAAATAACTCCCGATGGCTCCATTGGAACATTGATTGGTACACAGACTCAGCCTAGAGAATGGACACCAATGCCATGTGATGACATTCTTTCTGCTGAAAGGGTAAATAGCCAACATACATTAGATGTGTAGAAATAATATCTCCATTTGTTTAGTTCATTACTAGGTCTTTTATCTACATTGATGACAAACATATCTTGTTGTTTGCAGGTGTCACTAAAATGGCCGACATCTTTGAGCATTAACCCTTTGGATGACTCCCTCCACATCCTCGACCATTCCATTGTTCTCAAACTGACCAGTGACTTTAAACTGGTCACCGTAGCTGGACGCCCCATTTATTGTCCACCACGCCACTCTTCCTTCTTGCCACTCGGAGTTTTGACAGATGATGAGCAGGCCTCCAATGTGGCTGACCACGTGACCCTAGTCTCACCAAAGAGTATCACCTTTGGACCCCATGGTGACCTGTATATAGTAGAAAGTGATACCCACCACATCAACAGAGTGCGGGTGGTCAGTACAGATGGTAGAATACATCACTTTGCTGGGGCTAAAAGTAAATGTGACTGCAGACAGGTTTGTACTTTCTTCTCAAGTACTTCCTACTCTTTTGTTGTAAAAGCTGGTGAAAACCTTATTTTTTTAATTATTTATTTTTGGATTAGTCACAAGTAGGCCAATACAATTGGTAAATATTTAAATTCATAAACAAAATTTAAATACCTTGAAAGAATCACCATTTATTTTTCTGAAGTTTTTTGAGAATATTTAATTTTTTATTGAGGTGCCGTCCTTTTTAAAAAGTTTTATTTCAATTAAAATAATGCTCAAATTAAAACAAGACACAAATTAAAACAAAGCATAAATTAAAACAGCACAAATTAAAACAGAGCACAAATTAAAACAAAGCATTAACTAAAGCACAAATTAAAGCATTACCTTGTGTCTGCAGGAGAAATGTGCCTGCTTCAACCCAAGAGAAACGTTGGCAGCCCAGGCCTTGTTTAGTGACCCGACCTCTGTGACTGTCACACCTGATGGTGTTCTACACCTGGCTGACATGGGGAACCTGCGGGTGTTCTCTGTGGTCTCAGAGCTGCCCATCCTACACAACAGCATCTACGAGGTTCTGGCCCCTGAGACCCAGGAGCTGTACATCTTCAACAAGAATGGCCAGCACCAGCAGACCATCAACATACACACTGGACAGTACATCTACAACTTCACGTACAATGTTCTGTCCTCGTACGGCAAGCTGGTCAATGTTATTGATGCAGCCCAGAACAAAATCATCATCAACAGGACGGGGGAGTCGCATGCGTCCGAGCTGATCCTGCCCTCTGGCCAAAAGTGTACCCTGTCCATGGACAACAGACACAGGCTGCACAAGTACAAGGCCTCCAACAACTTGACCTCCACCTTCACCTACACGGTCCACACTGGTCTCCTGGAGTCTAAACAAGACAGTGACGGCCAGACTTTTTTCTTTCACTACGACGACACAGGACGGCTGCTCACTGTCAGGCAACCCACTGGCCAGATCACCACACTGACCACTGATATTAACACCACAGGTTCCATTGTCCATGTGGCTACGGGTACGCGCCATGTGAGCGCCATGGCTACCTATGGGAGCGTGCAGTCAGTTATGCATGGCAAGTTGCTTGCTAAGCCACCTTTTTACACTCTTTTTCTCCTTTCCTTATGAGCACAAATCAATACAAATAGAAATCTAAAACATCTTCTAATAAATTTTAAAACTATATAAAAATCAATGAATAATTTGAAAGTCATTGGGCAAAATATTGAAGACATTTTCCTAATAGATTTGTGCTCTTTTAGATTTATATTTTTAAAATTTGTGCCCTCATTTCTTCTTTACAGTCACCCTTTAGAACTTGCTTATCCTCAGCAATCACATTAGCCAAACTTATTTTAACATAATTCAGCTTCAATTTTTATTTGCAAAATCATCCCATTATGATTATTTTATAAACCAAATTGAACACTTCACCATAGTAAGCTTGGGTACAAAGACTAGCGTACTAATTTTAAAATAATGAAAGTAACTTTTAGCAAACCTGAATGTGAATCTACCCTTACCTTAAATAGATACCTGTAAGTTAAATGAAGCATATTAAAATTTAATTATGGCTGTATGAAGTATAGATCTTCTACTACCAATGTTGTAGAAAGTTATTTGTTGTATCAAACAACAAATATTTGGTCATGTGACAAGCAGTTGTTATGAAAGTTATAGTTATCCAAGTTATACTTATCCTAGATAAGATTTATGACAGTACCATTAATAACTAGGTAGCATTTGAAGGGATTCTTTTAGAAAACTAAAAAGTTTGATCTGTTCAGTAATGTGTAGATACATTTCATTACAGCTGTTCATTGTTTTTTTTCATAAATGTTGCTATCAGTATTTAAATATTGAAGGTCTTTAGACTTGAAGATTGTATGGCTCGTGTAGTTGTTTAAAATTAGATCTCATCTGCATGTAAGATGTTAACGTGGACATAAAACATCATCAATGTTTACTGTCTAATTAGCTGGAGTCATGCATAACATTTGATGACTGATGTAGTCTTGACACAAAATATAACATAACATGGAGTTGATAGATGTCATTAATGTAGGATAGATAATTAATAGAAGCTAGATATTTGACACAAAATATTAACATAACATGGAGTTGACAGATATCATTAAAGTAGGATTGATAATTAATAGCTAGATATTTGACATAAAATATTAACATAACATGGAGTTTATAGATGTTAAAGTAACTGCATACCAACTGATGGTTGATAGAAACTAAGTATTTTACACACCATATGAACCTAACATAGATTTTAAATACATTCATGCTGTTGTTTCAGTAGATAGAAACTAACAAACACATTTTAATTGAAACTAAATATTGGATCTCTTTTTATAACTTAAATATTGATTTATGAAACATAATTACGATCAGTAGATAAATTTCAAAAGTGTAGGTACTTTTCATAAATTAGATGAATATAAATTAAAACCCATGTAGATTGTAATGATATTTTTTGTGCATTCTATTTTTTTACTTCCAAAAGAATTTAGACAAACAACAACAGTATAAGGTCTAGTTTTGAACACAAGGTTTAAGTAAAAATTGTCAATATTTCATCACAGTCAAGCCAATGATTTTAAAATAGCTTTAATGATAAGAAGATAGATGTACAAAAACATCCTCTTGTTCTCTATTTGGTCTATTTGATAGTCACAGTCCCCAATAACATTTTTGGTTTGTGTCTATTACTATAACATGATCGTGTGGAGTTAAAATGAGAGCTTAATGTGCATCGTTTATAAATAACTGCATCATACTGAGAGTATATTAACATCCTTATAGATTGCTTTTATACACTTCTAACCCATATGCATATGTACTGTGTGAAGTTAACATAACAAAAGTTAATTTTTTAATTGTTAGCTCATAGTGGATTTTCTGTTGGTAAACTGTTAAACACTTCTACATAAATATAAATTGTGCCTAATACATGCATGCTATAAGAATGTTCAAAATGCCTATAGAGCTGTAAGATTTAATATGATCAAGATTGCAACAGTTAGCTATGGAGAGGTGCTTCTGTATTCTGTGTATTCTAACCTTCTGTAGCATCTCTAATGTGTAGTCTTGGTGTCTAGAATACTTCTGGTGGCTCTGCTTGTAGGAATAACATACTGCATGTCATCATTTTAATTCACTTATTTCTTGGTACTCTTATTAATAACAGTCAAATTTATAGTCATACTAAAGAACAACTGTAAATAAACATTGATTCTCTAGAGGCGACACATTCTAATAATGTAATCATGGCCCAATAGCTACATGTGTTCTTTTATTTTATTACATTTAGTTGATTCTTGAAAGTTGTTTTTTTATTCACTCAGGTTCAACTCAGACTAAGGTGACCTACTTACCAGATGGAGCTGTGATTGTGCTGTTTCCTAGCAACCTGACTGTTTCCTTAGAAACAGGAAGCCACCCCATCATGGAGAATGAGAACCGCATGCATTACAAGCGTAAAATTATTGTCCCTGGCTCCTCTGTCCACCGCCTGGAGTGGAGGTTTTACCTTCGGCGTGGGGGCCGTGTCAGATCCTCCAGGGTGATAGAGAAACTTGGTCTACGTAGTCGGGTAGGGGACCTGGCTCGGCAGCATGTTGTGCATGATTCTCTAGGAGGAGAGGGCAGAGACAAGGCCCTGATGGTATGTCTCATCCCAGTCTGTTTCATTTAACTCTTAATCTAAAACCAAGCAGCCGTCTCTCTCACTCTAATCTTAAAGCTAATCATCAGGCTGTTTGGTTTTTTTACTGGCTGATATTTTGTTTCAACAGTTTTTTTTTAAAGTAAATCTTTGAAAAAGTTTTCTATTCAATGTTATCAAACCAACAAAGCTTATGAACTACTGCTTCAGTAAAATTTATAAAGTAAAACATATACCAGCCATGGTTGAAGCTGCATGAAACATTACTGGAAACCAAAATTTACAAACTGAATATAACATTTTTAATGTACAAGCACTGTGTATAGAGAATTGTTTAGTTTTAGAAGACTGAATTAACAGCACATAAAGATTTTACCTGCTACTTGGGGGGTTAGAAAAAGTTGCGTCTAAGTTTTTAAGAAAACTAATTTTCATTAAAAGTGAAAAAAAAAATGTTTAAAAAATGTACTTAAAGTCATTAATTTTCTGCTAGGTTGTTGAAACTAAACAGTGTTAGTTAGTTAATCAACTTCAAACAAAGTCAGTTTTAAAATAAAAAAATTATCTTGGCATTAAACTTCATTCTGGTTCAGTTAATGGTTTTTAAATTCACTGTAAAAATTATTTAATTTCAAAAGGGTCTATATTGGATAATAAATCAATGGCTTAGCATTTTAATACATTGATAACAACAACAAAAAAAATTAAAATAATTACTCTGTGAAATTATTCAAACTTAAATATCATTACTGTGTAAAGTATTATGGACTGTTTAACAGGAGAAAGACTTTTTTAAATCTCTAAATATCTTAGTAAATTCAATTATTTTTTATTGAAATCTAAAGGTAAAAAGAGTACAAAAAAAAGCTGGGAAAATACATCAAAAATAGCCTTCATAGTTAGTCTTGCATCTACTGATACAAGCAGTGTATGAATCCAATACAGCATGGAGAAACTAAAATATATTTTTCACTTTCTTATTTTTAATTATTTTTTTTTTGCCATTGTTTACTTACTTCTAAATTTATTTTTTAAGTAGTAATTTGCATAAATACTCACCACCCATTAATAGTTTTTAAACAAATTATGGACTCCCTTTGAATGTATGTAAAAATAAACTATTGCTTTTTATAGAAAATAAAACACTTTAACTGTTTAGTTTACTTGTTTAAAAATAACCAGTTTATAGTAGAACGTCGCTTTTTCACTCACCCTAAATTTATTGTTCCCTTTATTAAATTTTACCTGGGAAACTAAATTCTGCATCATTAACCACACAAAAATACCTGAGTTTCAAAACTATTCCCTTAATTAATGTTTTTAAACACTAAAATATAAAGACTTGAAAAAGCAGCCATCAACACAGTTATAGTAACACACCAAGTGATGAAGATTGTATTTGTAAAAAAAACAGAACATTTTAATCATTCGTTCTAAGATTTCCATCTATAGTTTAAGTTACATTTGATGATTCATGGCATGAAATTACTCTTCAAAGTATTTTCAGTTATAAGTTTGGGCATGAACTTATTATGTGCATTTTACTTTCTTATAATGGTTCATTCAGCCTGGAACAATTAGTGTACTTAAACCACATAAGGCAAAAGGGGGGAAATAACTTCAGTATACTTATATGTGTTTGAGTTGCAGCATTTATTACTGCTCCTGATTACCATTATAAAAAATACATGCTAATGATATGCCATGGTCAAATGTCTTTCTCATCTCTACTTTTTCTTTAATTCAATTTGCTACTTCTGTCTTAAGAAAAAAATGCCAATTGTCATCCAACCTTTAAACAAGTTTAAAAATAAACTGTAGACTCTACACAGGAGACTCGTCATAGAAGTAAATGTTCATATCTGCTCCTGTAACTGAATGAAATGTTGACTCTAGATAAGAGACTCATCATAGAATTAAACATGTATATCTGCTACTGTAACTGAATAAAAATGTTGCCTCTAGATAAATGGGGAGAGCCTTCTGACCGTTGAGTATGACCGGCGCACACACACAGAGACTGTGCTGGACAAGAGTCTAAGGGACATCATCACTGTAGCGTACAACTCTGCTGGTCTGCCCGTACAGTTTATCCCAGCATCCTCCCACCACGCCATGAATGTCACATACAACGCCCACGGTGACATAGTTGAGTGGCAGTATGGAGAACTGATAGAACAGAGGGAGTACATTAGTCCAGGGCTCATCACACAGAGGACCTTAAAGCCTGGGGGAAAACAGTTCCGTTACTTTTATAGAAACAGCTCAAACAAGGTTGGTCCTTTATACACATTGTATAGCACCAAAGTTATGTTTACATATTGATTTACTTACTCTACCTGTCATTAGCCTAACCCCACACTTCTACCTGTCATTAGCCTAACCCCACACTTGTACCTGTCATTAGCCTAACCCCACACTTGTACCTGTCATTAGCCTAACCCCACACTTGTACCTGTCATTAGCCTAACCCCACACTTCTACCTGTCATTAGCCTAACCCCACACTTCTACCTGTCATTAGCCTAACCCCACACTTGTACCTACTCTACCTGTCCCCAGCCTACTGACGTCTTCCTACCGAGTGGCAAACAGTACCTGTTCAAACATGACAAGCAAGGGAACCTTAAGTCCGTCATATCACCTGTTCTTGGACACCACCACTTCCGCACCTTGCTGACCCTGGGTATGAAGCGCTACCTGTACACAGCTCCAGGCTTCTCTCATCCCTACATAGAGGACTATGATGCTATGGGGAAACTGATCCAGGTGAGAATCTTGTTGACCTGCAGGTCTATACAGCTTGTCTCTAACTTAATACAATGTGAAGATTATAGAATCAAATTGGTTGCTGTTTTATACTAAACTAGCCAATGTCTGTCATCAGAAAATTTACCCCAGTGAAGAGAGGCGTGTGGTGTACCGGTACAACAGCATGAGCCAGAGATCTCTGACCATGTTTGACCAGACCCTGATAGAGTACACCTACCACCCCGCTGTCCTGCAGCTCTCCCAGGTCTCCCTAGTGGCCAGGGGCTACTCCAACAAGGTGACCTTTGGCTACCTCAGCTCCCTGGTCCACGACGTCTCCGTCACCTTCCCACAAGACGCCAGCCTGGTTGGGGCAACCATCAGGTTCTCCTATGACAACCACTTCAGGCAGACGGAAACTTTTTTCACACTGACCAACAACATTAGCCTGGCCTCCAACCAGTCCTTTAACAACGACAACGGCAAGCTGTCCTCCATAGCTGGCATCAGTGTTGAGTGGCTGAATGAGGCCAAGCAAGTCTTGTCTCTCTCCCCCATGTCCCTGACCAGAGAGTTTGACAGCTATGGCAGGCTGGTGGACTACAAGATGAAGTTCTCTGGCGACATGAAGTTTGAGATGCAGATTAATTACGACAAGATAGGCCGGGTGCACCAGTGGAAGAGGAAGCTGGACGACGCTAAAGAGCTGACCACAGAGTACATCTATGACGTGGATAGTCATGTGACTGATGTTCTGATGCAGGGGAAAAATACTTGGGATTTGGGCTACGATGCTGATGGTAACCTGAAGAAGATAACCTCCCAGGGTAAGACCCATCACATGGAGTTTGATGTGGGGGACAAGCTCATTTCTATGGGATCCCTGGGGTACAAGTTTGACAGTGATGGCTTCATGGCCCAGAGAGGACTGGACCACGTCAGCTTCAACTCTGATGGTCAGCTGGTGTCTGTCACACAGCATGGCTCCTTCAAGTTTTCTTTCTTCTACGATGCACTGGGCCGGCTAGCTGTCCAGAGAGATCGCTACGGCCACATGTTGCAGCTGTACTACGGGGACACCAGGGCATCCAACACCATCACCCACACCTACAACCACACGACCGGAGTGCTAACTCAGTATTTCCGTGACACTGATGGCACTCTGGTTGCACTCCAGCGTGCAGGCCGACTCTACTTCATCGTGGTGGACCCCAACAAGAGCCCTCTGGTAGTCTTTGATAAGGAGGGCAACACCATCAAATCTGTCACCTACAGTCCCCTAGGCATCAAGGAATCAGATTCTAACCCAGATTTTGAGCTGGTGTTTGGTTTCCAAGGAGGCCTGTACAACTCTATAGCCCAGCTTGTACACTTCCCCAGCCGAGTCTATGACGCCCAGACTGGGAGATACATGTCCCCAGACTACCCACAGGTCTTCAAGAAACTTGACACTGTGGCAGAGGATCCGGAGATTTTGAACTTGTATGTCCATAGATATTTGGTCAATGGACACCTTCAAAATGAACGCTATCCTCGTATGGGTATGTCATAACATTTTACATTTTTCTTACTATGTTGTTAATATTTGCAGAACTTAACCATGCTAGCAACTTTCATATGTTATTATAATTAAAGTTTTTCTGGGGTATTTTCAGACCTCTCTGATTGGCTGAATGCCCTAGGCTATGACATCAAATCTATGGCACCAGATGTGTCGTACACAGGTCAGCTAAAGCCAGGACCTGATGACCAAAACATGCAGCTGCTTCCTGCATCCTCAGCTTTTGAGTGCACATTTAGGAGAGACATGCACAACTTGCTGTCCATCTCCACAGTCCCAAGATCTAAGGTATAAACTATAGCTAACAACATACACATACACATACAGCTACAGTCCCAAGATCTAAGTTATAAACAATAGCTTACAACATATACATACAGCCACAGTCCTAAGATCTAAGGTATAAACTCTAGCTAACAACATATACATACAGCCACAGTCCCAAGATCTAAGGTATAAACTATAGCTAACAACATACAGCCACAGTCCCAAGATCTAAGGTATAAACAATAGCTAACAACATACACATACAGCCACAGTCCCAAGATCTAAGGTATAAACTATAGCTAACAACATACAGCCACAGTCCCAAGATCTAAGGTATAAACAATAGCTAACAACATACACATACAGCCACAGTCCCAAGATCTAAGGTATAAACAATAGCTAACAACATACAGCCACAGTCCCAAGATCAAAGGTATAAACAATAGCTAATAACATACACATAAAGCCACAGTCCCAAGATCTAAGTTATCAGCTCTTTTTATACTGGCCTATTAACATCATACACATAGTTATGTAGATCATTTTTTTGAAGACTTGACATATACATATTTTACTATTACAAATTACACAGCTAAATAGTTAAACGCCTTAAATATATTAGATTTAAAAAATGACCAGAGTGTGTTATCTATAATTATGAAGTCAGCAAACATGAAACCAGACCTAGAGATTCTATTTCCCCTGTTCTCCTATTACAGGTGACGCCCCTCCAATATCTCAAGCCAGAAACCCCAGCTCCCCTAGATTTTATATTCGGTCACGGTGTCACCATATCAGACTTTGATGGTAGAACTGTTGTCAATGTTATGGATGCTGCCCAGTTGTGGCCCAAGAAACTGGCCACTGTGCTGCTGAATTCCTCCCAGATTTTACCCATCCACTTCACCATCAATGGCAGAGACTGTCACTACTTCGTCAAGCCCAGCATCCAACAAGCCACTGAGGACCTGAGAGAGCTGGGCATCCACAGCGAACTGATCACGTACGAATCTGGCATCAACGTCTCAGTCCACCACAACCCACCCCTACACCTGTACAGCCCTGCACCCAAGGAGGTTGACATTAAGATCCACGGCAACCACACCGTCCTCAACGTGCGCTACGGCACCACAGTGGACAGAGAGATGAGGAGGATATTGAAGCAGGCTAAAGACAGGGCGGTCAACCACGCCTGGTCCAGGGAGCGCTTCCTCCTGCAGCACAACCTGCCCTCCATGTACCACTGGTCAGAGTCTGAGCTGCGCCAGATCCTCTCTGTTGGCTCGGTCATGGGTTACGTACCTGACTACAACCATCAGCCTGACCAGTACCCTGAACTCTCAGACGACTGTAACAATATCAGGTTTGTGGCTGAAGTACCTTGACCACCACCTTACAACTCATGAATTCTCCACACTTAATGCTAATACTCAGACAAAGGTTGTCATTTATTATGTTGTCATATTACTTCAGGACCATGCAAGCCATCTTGGAACCACTGTTGGATGAAAAGCTTCACCTAAGGTGACCTCATGAACTCAATTCATTGAACCTTGTCTGACTATTTTACTGAGTTTTTTTTTAAGTAGAACAAGATTTGTTGCGTTTTATTTGGACACAAACATTTACTGTGGAGTGAGTTACAATGGGTAGGTAGGACATGTTTCTCTTCAAGTGAACATGTTCTCTTGTCCCAATTGTAGTAGGACTGACCAAACTGACCAGTGATGGTTTTATGGTAGCCAGCACACCAATGAAATCCTTGTCAACAAATATTAACTTATTCATAATAAGTGTTAGAAATCCACTGGCAGAGATTGTACATTTATCTCTCAGTTTAGGTGGGTCAAATTGTACTAAGTGGTGGTGACACCATCTGGTACAGGTGGTGACATCACTTGCTACAGGTGGTGACATCACTTGGTGCAGGTGGTGACATCACTTGGTGCAGGTGGTGACATCACTTGGTGCAGGTGGTGACATCACTTGGTGCAGGTGGTGACATCACTTGGTGCAGGTGGTGACATCACTTGGTGCAGGTGGTGACATCACTTGGTGCAGGTGGTGACATCACTTGGTGCAGGTGGTGACATCACTTGGTGCAGGTGGTGACATCACTTGGTGCAGGTGGTGACATCACTTGGTGCAGGTGGTGACATCACTTGGTGCAGGTGGTGACATCACTTGGTGCAGGTGGTGACATCACTTGGTGCAGGTGGTGACATCACTTGGTGCAGGTGGTGACATCACTTGGTGCAGGTGGTGACATCACTTGGTGCAGGTGGTGACATCACTTGGTGCAGGTGGTGACATCACTTGATACAGGTGCTGTCAACAGGTACATATCACATCAGTACATACAGGTGGTGTATAGTGATGTTCAAAAGGACATTCATTTGACATTAGCAGATGTGGTGACAAGCAGATACAGGTGGTGACATCTAGTGGTACAGGTGGTGACAGCACTAGAATTGATGAAACTCAAGTTTTCAATCTGTTGCAAGTGTACTGTGTAACAAGGTTACAGGTTCACTGTGTTTTTTTATGTAACAACTCCAGTGTTTTTTCAGGGCTGGTGTATAATTAATGTTTCATACAAGTTTTTAATGTACTGTAACCATCTATTCAGTTTTAAAACCAAACAAGTTTAGGTTTTTTTTTTGACTGTGCAATATACAAAATTTTTACATTATACCTGGTCATAATTACATGCAATATTCACTGCAATTATTTCTTCTTGCTAAATCCATATGCATTACTGTATCTGATTGGTCAGGGCAATTCCTAAGCCTTGGTTACACTCTATGCCATCAGTTCTATGTTGAAGTACGGATGACTCCTTCACTATTCTTTGTATGTTTAACATATCAGATGATTACATTCTCCTAAGTTAACTTTCCCCTCATGTATTGTATGTGTGCCTCAGACTATATGTTCCATACGACATACGTTTGGCTGACCTGGCTGTTAGGTGCGGTGTACACCCACAATGTCAATTCCTCTAGTACGCTCATACAATTGGAGTTGATCTAACAATATCTATCACATAGGGATTGACCATTACCATCTAGTTTGATTTATTTGTGTCAAATTGGAAGACAGGGAAATACTTTCCGAACATGGCAAGCAGCTGTTCTTATAGATTTGACAGTTTATTTTATGACTAGTACAATCTTGTGTGATAATTGTTTACTAGAGGAGACATTTATGTCGTGAAAAAATTGTTTACTAGAAGGGACATTCATGGCGTGAAGAAATTGTTTACTATGCATGAGCCAAGTGTGCAAGCAGAAGACAAAGATGACTTTTTAAGGTCACAATTTCTTTATACTTCCATATCATTTATACATAATTTTTTTATTCATGTTTTAGTACCCGTTACTTCCTATTTTTGTATTTTTTGTAAATGTGTTATACATCATATCTAAATACTCTGTTAATTTATCTTGACTTTTATTTATGGTAAGCATCATTTAATAATAGAAAAAAATAAACATGAAATATTCTTTATGTACATAAAAGCATGATAAGAACATGAGAATCTTGCAAGTAAAATCTTCACTTTTGAATGATTGAAACTGTCAAATATTTGACAGATTTTTTTACTCCAAACGATAAATCTAATTTGATTCTATGACTAATGCATAATGCATTTACATACTAACAACACTAGTGTAGCTTTATTCAACTTGTGCTTAACAATTTGATTTTTAAAGCTATTTCAAAACTTCTCAGTTAACTTTCTATTGCTGCTAAAGTAGACATAAAAGCTTTTCTCTCTATTCAATATTAGTTTTTAAAAATCTGCATAATCATTGGCCTACTACATGATGTTAGCTCAGTGTCATGTGATTGTCTACTAATATTCTGAGCTTTAATCATAGGACTACTCTACCCCCAACACTTTAATTGATGAAAGAACTAAAAACTTAGAAAAAATATCAAAGACTTTTAAAACACCTTGAGTCCACACAGTTGATAGCTTTTAGTGGAGAACTTCTGTTTGTTAAATTTTGAAGTGGTCTTTACATATTCTAAATAGTATACATGTGAAATTTTGTGGATTAGTGATGTGTGTGCTACTTATACATACATACATATATATATATATATATATATATATATATATATATATATATATATATATATATATGTGTGTGTGTGTGTGTGTGTGTATATAGACACACAGACTAAAAACTTGTAATTAGTGGATTCAATGTGACAAAGATGTGCCCATGCTATTTGTGTACAATGATCACATGTAAATATTATGGCATATTCCTGTGTTCTCCAGAGCATTGTCAGGATTTCATGACTACCTTTTTAATTTTCAGGTCAATATATGATTATTCAACACGCTAATCACAAACCATATTTTTTTGTATGTTTGAACAATTTGATGTAATGCTGTTTCTGTGAAGTTTTCATTAATAACTGTAATTTTTGACAATGTAAATCTCATTGAAAATATTTAGATGAATGTGTCAAGCAGTCAGCTCTTCAGTTCAATCAAATATAATTCATTGCATTCTTAAAATGATTTGAATCCTTGAAATCAGTATTATAAATTAGAAGTGTATTCAAAGTGCTAGGGTAGCCATGAAGTCTGTGTAATAAGTTCTTTCTTTTGTTAACACGATCATTCAAAATACCAGAAGAGGAAAAAAATCAAATTTTTTTAAACAAACTAAAATTGTTGTGTATATTTAGTTGTTTGATATGTCACTGTATGATACATATTTGTATGACATTTGTATAATACGTATTTGTGAATGACAAAAAAAGGAGCTTGTTTGCTGTGATTTGATCCAAGACTTCTATACATTAATTAACTCTTACATGTAGTCACTGACCAAGGGTCAGACAGTGAATGAAGTCACTGATCAATGGCTAACTATACATGATGTTGTATGCTAGGAGATACTTGTATTTGTGTATACATGAGTATATAAGTGTGTGTACATGGAGGATATGTGTGTGCTTGGTAATATGATACATGTAATTGTGTATCAGGTTGTATCATACACATAAGTGTGTGTACATGGGTATATAAGTGTGTTTACTAGGTTATGTAATACATATAATTGTATTCACATTGGCGTTTACTGCATATAATTGTGTACATGATTTGGTTGTACAAGTATTTAACTGTGTGTATATGGCTATATATACAAGATGAGCAAAAGGACAATGATGTTGATGTGTTTCAAATGTTTTTGACTGCTAACTTCCTTCTTACACACACCATTTTGTTGGTATCTATTGTAGAGCTGATACCAGTGTTGCATCATGGTCTACTTGTATGATTTAACCATTAGCTTTACATGTACTGTGTGTTTGGGAAACAAAAGGAACAGTGACAGACTGTTTGATGACAAATCTACAGTATGTTTGGGAAACAAAAGGAACAGTGACAGACTGTGTGTTGACAAATGTACTGTGTGTTTGGGAAACAAAAGGAACAGTGACAGACTGTATGATGACAAATGTACTGTGTGTTTGGGAAACAAAAGGAACAAAGACAGACTGTGTGATGACAAATGTACTGTGTGTTTGGGAAACAAAAGGAACAGTGACAGACTGTATGATGACAAATGTACTGTGTGTTTGGGAAACAAAAGGAACAAAGACAGACTGTGTGATGACAAATGTACTGTGTGTTTGGGAAACAAAAGGAACAGTGACAGACTGTGTGATGACAAATGTACTGTGTGTTTGGGAAACAAAAGGAACAGTGACAGACTGTATGATGACAAATGTACTGTGTGTTTGGGAAACAAAAGGAACAAAGACAGACTGTGTGATGACAAATGTACTGTGTGTTTGGGAAACAAAAGGAACAGTGACAGACTGTATGATGACAAATGTACTGTGTGTTTGGGAAACAAAAGGAACAAAGACAGACTGTGTGATGACAAATGTACTGTGTGTTTGGGAAACAAAAGGAACAGTGACAGACTGTGTGATGACAAATGTACTGTGTGTTTGGGAAACAAAAGGAACAGTGACAGACTGTATGATGACAAATGTACTGTGTGTTTGGGAAACAAAAGGAACAGTGACAGACTGTGTGATGACAAATGTACTGTGTGTTTGGGAAACAAAAGGAACAGTGACAGACTGTGTGATGACAAATGTACTGTGTGTTTGGGAAACAAAAGGAACAAAGACAGTTTGTGTGTTGACAAATCTACTGTGTGTTTGGGAAACAAAAGGAACAGTGACAGACTGTGTGATGACAAATGTACTGTGTGTTTGGGAAACAAAAGGAACAAAGACAGACTGTGTGATGACAAATGTACTGTGTGTTTGGGAAACAAAAGGAACAGTGACAGACTGTGTGATGACAAATGTACTGTGTGTTTGGGAAACAAAAGGAACAGTGACAGACTGTGTGATGACAAATGTACTGTGTGTTTGGGAAACAAAAGGAACAGTGACAGACTGTGTGATGATAAATGTACTGTGTGTTTGGGAAACAAAAGGAACAGTGACAGACTGTGTGATGACAAATGTACTGTGTGTTTGGGAAACAAAAGGAACAAAGACAGTTTGTGTGTTGACAAATCTACTGTGTGTTTGGGAAACAAAAGGAACAGTGACAGACTGTGTGATGACAAATGTACTGTGTGTTTGGGAAACAAAAGGAACAAAGACAGTTTGTGTGTTGACAAATCTACTGTGTGTTTGGGAAACAAAAGGAACAGTGACAGACTGTGTGATGACAAATGTACTGTGTGTTTGGGAAACAAAAGGAACAGTGACAGACTGTGTGATGACAAATCTACTTCCTGTATTCAAGCACCACATTGTTTATTTACTTGTTGCCAAACTTTTGTGTTGTTTTATTTCCTTGAGGTCACTTGGTCAAGTTGAACAATCCTTCAAGCTGTCAAGGGTTTTCTAAGAATCAAACATCTACGCAATTATTTCCTTTTTATTTTGTTTACATACATTTGTGCTGATTACCTGTATATACCTACCACTGAAAGACAGATTAGCAGAATGCTAGAGCTTTTTTGTTTGACTTTTTTTATTCTTTGCATAATAAATTTGTTACAGAATTTGTATAGAGAAATGACATGCAATATTTATAAACGAGATGCAAACTAATATGATCCATTTTTTTATGTTTATTTTTGGGATATTCTTTATGTCATCAAATTAAATAATATAATTCCACTCGTCTCCGACTTTATTTGTTACACTTGGACAAGAATAAATCAGTTGTTGCATAGTACATATATGGCCGGTCTTAAATGTCAGTGTTACAAATCTTCTTTAAAACATGTCAGTAATACATTTTACATAAAACAAGCCAGTGCTATTACATATGTCAGTATTACATTTTACATAAAACATGTCAGTTCTATTAAATGAAACATAAGTATTACATCTTACATAAAACAGTGCTATTACATGAAATATGTCAGTATTACATTTTACATAAACCTTGTCAGTAATACATCTTACCTAAAACTTGTCAGTAATATATCTTACATAAAACATGTCAGTATTACATCTTACATAAAACATGTCAGTATTACATTTTACATAAAACATGTCAGTAATACATCTTACATAAAACTTGTCAGTATTACTTTATACATAAAACATGTCAGTAATACATCTTACATAAACATGTCAGTGTTGTTAAATCCTACATAAAATCAAGTTATACCATGTATGAAAAAATTACAAAGATAATTTTAACTGAAAAAGGAAATGAAAAAATACTGATATTTAGAATATAGAGAAAATAGCTTTGACCCCCAGAACAAAGTGCACAATTTCTCTAGATTTAAATTAAGTTAATTAAAATTAAATAAAGCCTCTTGGGTTTTTGGTTTAGCTTGTTACAATTTATTTTTCTTAGTTTGTTTTTTTGTGGGGGGGGTGGGGGGAGTGGTCATCATATTAATATATTGACCAAGAAGTAAAGATTCTACAAAACTTCTGCTAAAAGATAGGAATGATCACACTTTGCTAGTAGGAAGTGGATGAGGGTTACAGCGTGTTAATTATGTCTTATCAAGCCATACACACAAGATATTTTAAAAAATTGTTTGTTAGTCAAGTAGGAGAGTGCATGACAAATAGATCTGATTTTTTCTTTCTTTCTTTCACTTTTTTCTTGTCAGATGAAGGAAGTGCGTAGCCTAAAATATTTGTCATACTATTGTATAGAACATTTGGTTTCCCAGAGATTGAATATAGAGACAAGACATTGTACCCGCATTGACAAATAACTAGAATTGATAGTAAGGTCTTTTGATAGAAAACAGCTTGTTTCAGTCACAGTTCGCACACACACATACACACGCGCAATCGTGACATCATAATGACATCAGCAAGTACATTCATACAATAACTGCAGCACGAACGCATAGAGTATGAGATCATTGTGATGTCAGCAAATACACACTCCGTTATGACGACATCAAGTACACAGATTCTCAAAATCATTGGATCATAAAGACATTGCGTGCTGAACATTTTTCTACTCAGCAGTAATGTTACCGTTTTGTTTCATTGTTTTATTAACTTACAAACAAGCGTGTTTCACGTTAATACAACATAAATTTACACTTTCATACAACATAAATTTACACTTTCATACAACATAAATTTACACTTTCATACAACATAAATTTACACTTTCATACAACATAAATTTACACTTTCATACAACATAAATTTACACTTTCATACAACATAAATTTACACTTTCATACAACATAAATTTACACATTCATACAACATAAATTTACACTTTCATACAACATAAATTTACACTTTCATACTGAACAACCTTACACACTCATACAACCAATCATCACAAAACACGACACACAACAAAGGCCGTGCTCCCACTACACAATATGGCGCAAGGCGTGTCAACAGTGTGTGTCACCATTCAGCCAATGACTAACGAAAGTCACGTAGTCAGACAAGAAAAAGTTTCGGTCCACTCATTCAATTAGCACGCCAACATTTGTCTTCTCGAAACAGCTCAAGAAGAAACAACGGAGATGGTGTCTAATTAACATAAACACCGGAGTTATGGTGTCTAAATAACATAAACACCGGAGTTAAGGTGTCTAATTAACATAAACACCGGAGTTATGGTGTCTAAATAACATAAACACCGGAGTTAAGGTGTCTAAATAACACAAAGGTGTTCCTGTCAACATGAGGAACTCAAATATTGCTTGAAATACGTGACGTCACTATTCCTCTCTGTTAAAGTGGAGCATCATTCTTTTATCAACAGCTCATTGAGCTAAATGGTGTTCTAGTTATGTTAAAAAATAAACGTCTGGTGTAATTAGGGGTCATCCATAAATGAAGACAAGCTTTTTTGGCGATTTTTATCTCCCCTCTCAGCTCCGTCATACATCGTCTCAAAAAGCCAGACACCCCCCCCCCCCCTCTAAAATGAAGTCACACCTCAGGCCTCAGCCTACAACCCCTTCAACAGCGCAGTTGAATTTTTCCTAAAACATCGATATTTTTTTTTCAAAATCTTGTCTGAACTCTGTCAACATTGAGTATTTTAAATCCAATTCCTATGACAATTTATTGAAAGCAGTTTTCTAAAAACGCGAAATAACTACTAAAATTCGCTTTCTAACATTGCTTTTTTATAATGTAAAAGTGTGAAGTCACACCATCAGAACCCCTCCCCCTCATCACACACCGTCACAAAATTACGGACCTCCCTCCCCCCTACGAGTGTGACGTCATTTATGGACGGCCCTAAAAAAAACAACATGTCTAATGTTGGGTCACTGTGATAGACTGCAGGATGCAGTTCAATGATCGAAAAAAAATTTCAGCTCGTCTCAATTTTTTTAGCATTGATTCATTGAAAGATTATCGATAACGAACGAAAGAATAAAAGGATGAAGAGTGACTAACAGAGTTTATTTTAAGTAGGTGGTGGTGTGGATAAAAATAGAATAGTGGGGATGGAACGGGAATTTCCACTTATGTGAACAAAACACACACACACACACACACACATCCACACACACACACCTTAAAGTTTATCCTAAACAAAATAAAACAAAAAGTATCACTCATCACTGCAGCACACAACGACAACGGAACTAAACACAACAACACAATGAGCCATGACTGGTGAATCAGATTAGCTGCAGCATGGCTATCATCAAGATCATTAGGACAGTCATTACAAGGCTGGCAGTGGCCACTGGGCCGCCGTTAAATAAAGCCGTGTACCTGGACCTGACGCCCGTCTGGTGCCGGCAGTCGTTGGTCACACCTGCGTAGAAGAAGTCTTGCATGATCTGCCCCACCTGACGGTTGCAGAAGCTGTACACGGCTGTCTCACATCGGTATCTGGCCACAGATACGCTGGGGGGGGGGGGGGGAAACAAGAGGTGATCGTTAGTAGAGGTTAAATTTAGTCGTTATCTGGGGCTATAGTTGGTCGTTATCTGGGGCTAAAGTAGGTCTTTATCTGAGGCTAAAGTTGGTCGTTATCTGAGGCTAAAGTTGGTCGTTATCTGAGGCTAAAGTTGGTCGTTATCTGAGGCTAAAGTTGGTCGTTATCTGAGGCTAAAGTTGGTCGTTATCTGGGGCTAAAGTAGGTCTTTATCTGAGGCTAAAGTTGGTCGTTATCTGAGTTTAAAGTTGGTCTAAAATTGTCCGTTATCTGAGGCTTAAAAAGTTGCCGTTAAATGCACACACAAAAAAACGATTGCTCTAGTCGTTATGTTATTACTGAATAAATTCGATTGTTGTATCTATCCAGTTTGTGAAACCCTTACAAGTGTCGAAGCCACCACCGGTTGTAATATTTTAACCGACAATACAACTATTTTCCTGCCTCCATCCTGGTAAATCCGCTCATGTCGTTTGACCCTCGCTAGTCACAGTAAGATAAAAATATCACCCCACGGGAACCTAAGGGAGCTAATCACCTGACCAATGAGGAAGTGCAAAACAAAAACCCCGTCTAGCCGTTGTTGGGTGTCAAGTATTTACTAACTAAACAAATGTCCCGCTGGGTTCAGAAAGTTTGCACTAAATAAACATCTATTATTTATGTCTCTAAATAAACATCTATTACTTACGTCACTAGATAAGCATCATTATCTATCTCACCAAATAAACTTCTTCGTTATTAAAAACTAAACATCTATTTTCTTTGTCATGACTACCAAAGCCCGATTAAAAAAAAAAAAAAAAAAAAAAGTTTTCATTATAAATAGCGTGCAACTGGCGCTTAGTTATTGTTATTTAGTTATTATTTTAAAATAGTTTTTTTCCGTATTTATTCCCCGAATATTTTCGCGCATACATCCGCCAAGTTGTACCACATAGTCATAAAGCTCGATACTAGATCTAGATCTAGTTAGAAACATTCAAGTGTCCAGTCACTCCCCGTAGACCAGAAGAAAAACCACGTGACCTACTTGCAGGCGAGGTCTTGTAGCGCACCACGCGGCAACTGCTGGTTGTTCTGGTTCTCTAGTGCAACCACCTGGTTGACGCCCTGGTTGAAGAGGGCGTAGCAGCGTCTGACCTCAGGTGTACTTAGAAGGCAGCGGATGTTGCGACGTAGATCTGGACGGTAGGTGAGGACACATGGATAATAGACAACTTATGGGGGGGGGGGGGGGGCAGGAGAAGTAGATCTAGATGGTAGGTGAGGACACATGGATAATAGACAAGTTATGGGGGGGGGGGGGGCAGGAGAAGTAGATCTAGACGGTAGGTGAGGACACATGGATAATAGACAACTTATGGGGGGGGGGGGGGGCAGGAGAAGTAGATCTAGACGGTAGGTGAGGACACATGGATAATAGACAACTTATGGGGGGGGGGGGGGGGCAGGAGAAGTAGATCTAGATGGTAGGTGAGGACACATGGATAATAGACAAGTTATGGGGGGGGGGCAGGAGAAGTAGATCTAGACGGTAGGTGAGGACACATGGATAATAGACAAGTTATGGGGGGGGGGGCAGGAGAAGTAGATCTAGACGGTAGGTGAGGACACATGGATAATAGACAAGTTATGGGGGGGGGGGGGCAGGAGAAGTAGATCTAGACGGTAGGTGAGGACACATGGATAATAGACAAGTTATGGGGGGGGGGGGGCAGGAGAAGTAGATCTAGATGGTAGGTGAGGACACATGGATAATAGACAAGTTATGGGGGGGGGGGCAGGAGAAGTAGATCTAGACGGTAGGTGAGGACACATGGATAATAGACAAGTTATGGGGGGGGGGGGGCAGGAGAAGTAGATCTAGACGGTAGGTGAGGACACATGGATAATAGACAAGTTATGGGGGGGGGGGGCAGGAGAAGTAGATCTAGACGGTAGGTGAGGACACAACGATAATAGACAAGTTATGGGGGGGGGGGGGGCAGGAGAAGTAGATCTAGATGGTAGGTGAGGACACAACGATAATAGACAACTTATGAAGGACATGAGAAGACAGGAGAGGACACAACGATAATAGACAACTTATGAAGGCATGAGAAGACAGGAGAGGACACAACGATAATAGACAACTTATGAAGGACATGAGAAGACAGGAGAGGACACAACGATAATAGACAACTTATGAAGGCATGAGAAGACAGGAGAGGACACAACGATAATAGACAACTTATGAAGGCATGAGAAGACAGGAGAGGACACAACGATAATAGACAACTTATGAAGGACATGAGAAGACAGGAGAGGACACAACGATAATAGACAACTTATGAAGGACATGAGAAGACAGGAGAGGACACAACGATAAAAGACAACTCAAGCGGTCGGCGTGGTCGAGTCGGTAAAGCTCATGGTAGTTAAACCGAAAAGTTTCGAGTTCGAACCCTCGGGCAGATGAGGCTCGTAAGCTGGGGACAGCCACTCTTCTGGGAAAGACAACTCCAAAATCTAACAGTTGCTGCTTTGTAGTTTGTTCTTGGTTGGACAAAGGCTATGGAAGCAAATCCAAAAAGAAAAGCAGGCTAAAATCGGAGTCAATGGCCTCAATGGCGCATAACCAGTTGACACGTCATAACCAGTTGACACATATACTTAATTGTATTGTGTTGGAGGGGGATCCATTTCAACACAAAAAATTAAGAACGAAGAAGAAGAAGAGTCCTAAACCAGTAGTTCTAGCAGTGTTTCTTTCAGGCATCTCTCCTACCCCACCCCTATCAGAGACCCCCCCCCCCCCGCTCTTCCACCCGGAAGTTTTAAGTGCTCCCGTAGAAAAATGCCTGAAAGAAAACCTGGTCTAAAGGACAGCATTGATAACATGCGGCATTAAAACAAGAATTATAAAGTTCCCTATCCCCATGACATAATTAAAACAACAATTAAAAAGTTGCCTACGTTCTAGATCCAAGGTACACAACCCCTCGTACGCCGTGTGCATGTTACGTCTGGTGAAGACCAGTTGCAGAAACCTGTCGGCTGGCTGGTTGGACCCTGGCAGACGACTCTCAAAACAGTTGAGGTAGCTGTTGTAGTTCCTGGAACAAAACAATCTCACGTTGTCATGGAAACGATAGATCCAGAACCGTAAACATGATAGTGTATACATGATTGTGTGGCATATGTCAGGGGCATTATGTCAGGGGTATTATGTCAGGGCATTATTGCAGAAGGATTATGTCAAGGGCACAGTGCCTATCTATGTCAGGTGCATTATATTGGAGGTATTGTGCCAGGGGCACATGTCAGTTGCATTATGTCAGGGGCATTATTCCAGGGATATAAAGTCAGGGGTCTTATATCCATGTCACGGGCATTATGCTGACTTTAAAAATCCACGAAAGATTAGATGATTATATGCAAAAACGTATGGTTATATTGGCACTCCTTTTAGCATGAGAAGATTATATGATCAGAATAGATAGCCTTATCCTTGCAATCAAATCTTACGATGGGATAAACTGCAAATCAAATCTTACGATGGGATGAACTAACCTGTAAATCAAATCTTACGATGGGATCAACTAACCTGTAAATCAAATCTTACGATGGGATGAACTAACCTGTAAATCAAATCTTACGATGGGATGAACTAACCTGCAAATCAAATCTTACGATGGGATGAACTAACCTACAAATCAAATCTTACGATGGGATGAACTAACCTGCAAATCAAATCTTACGATGGGATGAACTAACCTGTAAATCAAATCTTACGATGGGATGAACTAACCTGCAAATTAAATCTTACGATGGGATGAACTAACCTACAAATCAAATCTTACGATGGGATGAACTAACCTGTAAATCAAATCTTACGATGGGATGAACTAACCTGCAAATCAAATCTTACGATGGGATGAACTAACCTGCAAATTAAATCTTACGATGGGATGAACTAACCTGCAAATCAAATCTTACGATGGGATGAACTAACCTACAAATCAAATCTTACGATGGGATGAACTAACCTGCAAATGGAATCAAATGCAGCCATTGTAATCGCTTCAGGGTTGCCGCCATTTTGATTGGGAATGGGTGGGTTGAGGTTGTTGTTCCTGATCTGTTCTGTCAGACATTGCTGGGCCACAGACTGACCATTGCTACTGACCACTTGGGTGGCTACTGCAGGATTAGATTAGGATCAAACTACGTTATTTTTCTCATCATTTCTTTTGTTATAACTTTTTCGTATAAGAAAATTATATTTAGCTAAATAGTTTGCAGTGCTAAACTGAGAATGTATACCCCGTTTACACATACGACATGAAGCCTGTACTTTACATGTCTAGTAAAAAAAACAGCTCGCAACATGTTAATTTTATATGGAAACATTTTTTTTTATAACGGAACATGTTAACTTACTTATTGTGATTTTTCTTTTGGACACGTATAGTGTACATATCTTAAATGTAAAGGCGGTGTTTAAAGCGTTAAATTGCGTGGTTACTTAAAACCAAAACGTTATTTATAAGACACCCACAACAATTTTATTTTCACTAAAATGCAAAGCATTTTAATGTTTAAAAATCTATTATGGCCTAATGTAAAATAATTATATATATATATATATATATATATATATATATATATATATATATATATATATATATATATATATATATATATATATATATATATATATATATTATATATATAGGCAATGTAGTTTTAATGGGGCGATACAATCAAATACCAATTATGAATAATTATATATATATATATATATATATATATATATATATATATATATATATATATATATATATATAATGTGGCTTAGGGTGAAACATAATGTAATTTAAAAATTACATTATTTTCAAACAGAGGAAGTCTCCTTTCATAATAATTTTAAAAAAAACAACGAGTTTTACCTGTTAATAAAATTCCAAGAAAAAACATTGTCTTCTGCTAGACTCGTTGGTAAAAAAAGTCGAATTTATTTGATAGATTTCTATCCACGATTTGGTATCAATAAAATGGGCAGGACTTAGGTCAAAACATTCCGACCCGAGCTTTTTAACAGAATCCGGACGTCAGTTTTCAATCGGCTGCTACTGTCAACACGACGTCAGGCTATCAAGGCAATCAGAGCAATCAAATAAAGATCGATGTAATCAAACGTTGTTTATGTTGACATTACTTTATGAAACACACAAGCTGGTGATGTTGTCACTGACACAATTTCTCAGATCTCCATCATGTCAACTGCTTGACACCTAATGTCAAATATTGACAGATTTGTCAAATATTGAGAGATTTGTCAAATATTGACTCTACAAGTTGAATGAATGTGGTTTTAATTAGAAGTCAAAGTTGAAGTTTATTTCATGAACCGAATGTGTAGCAATGATCTAGGGAAACACAGCTAAACAAACTTGGTCACATCTATTGAACACTGACCAGGATCAACCAGCCTCTATTGACCACAGGTAAGTGACAAACACAGCGACCTAAAGAAAAGTTTTTCTCACCCACCGTCCGTGACTTTTGGTAGAGGGCGGGGATTTCCTGGGACTTAACACCTAGTGGACTCACGGGGATGATCGGCTTCTACCTGTAGCCTGCTGGGGGGAGGGGGTTGTATCCTCATGGTAAAGCCATTTTTGTATCATGATGGTAAAGCCATTTTTGTATCATGATGGTAAAGCCATTTCTGTATCGTGATGGTGAAAGAAGTTTGAAACAATGATGGTAAAGCCATATTTTTGTATTGTGATGGTGAAATGAATTTGTACAATGATGGTAAAGCCATTTATGTATCATGATGGTGAAATGAATTTGTATCCTGATGGTAAAGCCATTTTTGTATTGTGATGGTGAAATGAATTTGTACAATGATGGTAAAGCCATTTTTGTATCGTGATGGGAACACCATACGTAACCTGCTAATGTCATCATTGTTTATCATGCTGGACAGAAGTTTATTGACATCATCTGTATAACGTTAAATGATGTTTGATCTGTATGAAAGCCAACTTGATGTTTTACCTGATTGATGGTCAACTTGATGTTTTACCTGATTGATGGTAAACTTGATGTTTTACCTGAATGATGGCCAACTTGATGTTTTACCTGAATGATGGCCAACTTGATGTTTTACCTGATTGATGATCAACTTGATGTTTTACCTGAATGATGGCCAACTTGATGTTTTACCTGAATGATGGCCAACTTGATGTTTTACCTGAATGATGGCCAACTTGATGTTTTACCTGAATGATGGCCAACTTGATGTTTTACCTGAATAATGGCCAACTTGATGTTTTACCTGAATGATGGCCAACTTGATGTTTACCTGAATGATGGCCAACTTGATGTTTTACCTGAATGATGGCCAACTTGATGTTTTACCTGAATGATGGCCAAAGTGATGTTTTACCTGAATGATGGCCAACTTGATGTTTTACCTGAATGATGGCCAACTTGATGTTTTACTTGAAAAATGGCCAACTTGATGTTTACCTGAATGATGGCCAACTTGATGTTTTACCTGAATGATGGCCAAAGTGATGTTTTACCTGAATGATGGCCAACTTGATGTTTTACCTGAATGATGGCCAACTTGATGTTTTACTTGAAAAATGGCCAACTTGATGTTTACCTGAATGATGGCCAACTTGATGTTTTACCTGAATGATGGCCAAAGTAATTCTTTACTTGAATAATGGCCAACTTGATGTTTTTTCTTGAATGATGGCCAACTCTCTCCCTCTATGTGTGTGTGTATGTGTGTGATTATATAGCCTAGTACATTTTTATTCCCCCCCCCCCCAAATAAAAATAAAAATCATCGTGTGTGTCTTCCGTACAACATAAACCGCTCTACACAATGCTAGCTAATCTGTATTAAAAGCCGTCACCAAAACCACTTATTTTTCTTCCAGATAATTATTCTTTTATTTACAATCTACGGCAGAGCGAGAGAAAGAGTAAAAGGTGGGGGAGGGGGAGTGGGGGGGGGGGGCGAGAAGTAGCGAGCAGACAAACAGGGAATGTAAGTGTAATTATCAACAGGAAATACCGCGCTATCTGACCTTTTGACCTTTCTTGTGTCACGGAAGTGAGCAATCAGCTGATTGAGATTTTAAATTCGGCATCAAAAAAAATATTTTGACTTTTGTGGACACTTGTTAATTGAATCAAACAAAAAGGATGTGAATCAAAGTAAAACAAATCATTGGTTGTCTACTTGTGGCAGTACCATACCCCCCCCCACCCCCACTCCCCCTCCATCAAGAATTAGGCAGCATCATCTCCCCTGAAGTGAAAAAAAATCTAAACTATTATTTTATTAAGTTTGATTTTAAATATCCCATCACTTTAAGATAAGAAGACCTCCATTGCAGACAGTTCTGTAGTTTGTTTACATACACATATTTGTGTCTCGGTGGCAGCGTATTTGTATTTTGGTCACATTTTGTGTTTTGGTGACATTTTGTGTTTTGTTGACATTTTGTGTCTTGCTTGATATTTTGTGTTTTGTTGACATTTTGTGTTTTGGTGATATTTTGTGTTTTGGTGATGTTTTGTGTTTTGGTGACATTTTGTGTTTTTGTGATATTTTGTGTTTTGAAGACATTTCGTGTTTTGGTGACATTTTTGTGTTTTGGTGATATTTTGTGTTTTGGTGACATTTTGTGTTTTTGTGATATTTTGTGTTTTGAAGACATTTCGTGTTTTGGTGACATTTTTGTGTTTTGGTGATATTTTGTGTTTTGGTGACATTTTGTGTTTTGGTGACATTTTGTGGCTTGAATACATTTCGTGTTTCGGTGAAAATTCGAGTTTTGGTGACACTGTGCCTTGTGTGTATGAAGAAGTGTATTGGAAATGTCTTTTGTCTTTTGTCTTGGAGATTATGTGTCTTCAACAATATCGTGTCCACACGAACTGTTAGCATAAAAAAATATTCGAAGATGTTGCAGTGACTAAATGTTAACTAAAGACATTAAGTGAGGGGGCTACAGGACATTACCCCACCCCCGGACATTTACCCCCGTATTAACCCCCCCCCCCGGAGCAATTACCCCCTGTCAATTACCCCCTGTCATTTACCCCCCCCCCCCTCAAGTTATAATCCTAACTCTATTTAGAATTCTATACCTATATACTACGTTAATCCAAACCTTAAGAAAAAAGACCAAAACCTAAGCATCTACCTTAGCCTAAAACTTAACACAAAACCAAAACCAACGCTAGACATTTGTTTAAGCCTAATCCTAACCCTAGCTCTAACCCTAGCCCTAGCCCTAACCCAAACTCTAACCCTAAACTTAACCCTAGACCTAGACCTAAACCAAACCCTAAACCTAAATCTAAATCTAAACCTAACCCTAGGCCTAACCCTAACCCTAACCCTAGCCCTAACCCTAACCCTAACCTTAACCCTATACCTAGACCTAAACCAAACCCTAAACCTAAATCTAAATCTAACCCTAGGCCTAACCCTAACCCTAACCATAACCCTAACCTTAACCTTAACCTTAACCTTAACCTTAACCTTAACCTTAACCTTAACCTTAACCTTAACCTTAACCTTAACCTTAACCTTAACCTTAACCTTAACCTTAACCTTAACCTTAACCTTAACCTTAACCTTAACCTTAACCTTAACCTTAACCTTAACCTTAACCTTAACCTTAACCTTAACCTTAACCTTAACCTTAACCTTAACCTTAACCTTAACCTTAACCTTAACCTTAACCTTAACCTTAACCTTAACCTTAACCTTAACCTTAACCTTAACCTTAACCTTAACCTTAACCTTAACCTTAACCTTAACCTTAACCTTAACCTTAACCTTAACCTTAACCTTAACCTTAACCATAACCATAACCATAGCCCTAAACCTAGCCCTAACCCTATCACTAACCCTGTCCGTGAGGGGGGGGGTAATGTCCTACTGGGCTAGGGGTAATTGACAGGGGGGTAATTGACAGGGGGGAATGCCCTGTTCCCAGTGAGGATATCTGTCAATGTTCATGTCTGTCAATGTTCGTGTCTGTCAATGGCGTAGTTCGTGTCTGTTAATGTTCGTGTCTGTCAATGGCGTAGTTCGTGTCTGTTAATGTTCGTGTCTGTCAATGGCGTAGTTCGTGTCTGTCAATGGCGTAGTTCGTGTCTCCATACGCATGTGACTCACACAAAGTCATGGTCCCACCAGGAGACGTGTGTGTGTGTGTCTAGAGTTTGATCTGAGGCGAGGACAAACTACTTGAAAACTGAACAATAAAAGTATGGAGACGTGAAGATGGTGTCATTAAAATAATTAATAAGACCAGTTGATTGACGGCGTGTAACGTGTGAACAGGAGGGCAAGGGTTAACTGTGCTGACCCATATTTTCAGCCAGGGATAGACCAGAGATCATCTCATTAACTCTCTCATCGCTTGCAGCTCCAGGTCTGTTCCAGGTCTGCTGTGTCTCCACAAGATGGCGAGGTGAGTACTGCATGTTGTAGACAGTCCCGCTGGGGTCTAGGTCATACTTGTCCCCTACATCAGTACCGGACTTTTTATTGACAGGATATAAAAACGTGAAACTCGTTTCATAAAAAAATTCTGACCAATTGTTTTCGTTAGACTCGCTAGTAAATATGTTCTATAAATACAAATATATGATAGCAGCTAGAGGAGAAGTGTTCATCTAAGTAAGCTCAGGCCGGCTAGCGAACGAAGTTTCTTGTGAGTGAGTCGTACATCTTCGGTGGTTGTCAAGTGTGGTGATGAAGTGTGGATGTTAAGTGGATACAACAGCTGACCGACCAAGTCACCGGCAACTTGATTCAACGAGTTGACCTTTGAACTTGATGGTTATCTGCTTAAAGTATATTGTGTGGTCACCGTTTGTGAAAGTCCTCGTAAACTTTGGTTGGAACACGATTATGGTTCATGGCGTCAAAACTAAGTTAACTCCCCTGAGAATCAGCTCTAACTCTCCTGTCAAGTTTTATCCACTAAGACTGAACTTGTTTGGCCTAACTTAGATGTTGTATACACAATTTTAATCCACTAAGACTGAACATGTTTGGGTAGACCCTAACTTAGATGTTACAACTATTTCCCCAATATACTTCGTTGGAAATTTAGGTATTTTAAGTTCATTCATTTGTATATATACTCACGAGTCTAATTTAATTGCTATTATTTTACACTTGCTATCAAATAAATTATAAATTATTCTACATATTTTAAGATGAGCCTTATAGGCTTTTGCCGATAGCAACGTAATCAAAACAGTTTATTCTGTATATCTATATATCTATATCTATAACTTTCTATATCTACATCTGTAACTGTATCTTTATCTATATTTATATCTATCTATATCATCTATATCATCTATCTATAAGTATACATATGTGTATGTTTGTGTGTGTGTTTGTGTGTATGTATCTGTGTCTGTGTGTGTGTCTGTGTATGTATCTGTGTGTATGTGTCTGTGTGTCTGTGTCTGTGTGTAGTGTCTGTGTGTATGTGTATGTGATAAACAAGTCACTCACTAGGCCAGGAGGGGACACGCTCACACGTTATGTAGGGGAGACAAACGTTAGTCAATAGAGAAAAAAATACTTCCGTGAAGCAACTTGTGTGAATGTTTTGACACTCTGAGGAATGCTTTCACTACAATGGACATGGTAGGACTTGCACACTTACAGGCATAAGTTATGTAAGTTTTTACAGAAATTTGTTTACATAAGGGATGCTTCAATCATTAACAAATCGAATATATATATATATATATATATATATATATATATATATATATATATATATATATATATATATATATATATATATATATATACTTATTTATCAATGTATATAAATTTATGTATATGTATATATTATATGTATACATGTATGTATTATATCTATACAGTATACAAGTATACAGTATACAAGTATGTATAGGCCTATATAATATTTATTTAAGTATACATCAATACATATATGTACACACATATTCATTGTATATATACGATATATGTATATGTATATATATATATATATATATATATATATATATATATATATATATATATATATATATATATATATATATATATATATATAAGCAAATTCGTAAGTTAACTATGAAATTATGAATTCAGTGTTATAACAATAGGCCTATGTTAAAGTTACATTTTGGTTTATGATATACCACTTCGTTTTTAAATCAATCACCGTTAATTCATATAACTAAAATACAAAGGACCCACTTTGACATTAAAGCTAAATCTATAAGGGACACACCAAGCCCTAGCTGACCACATATTTTTATCAACCATTCTATGCTAGTCTTGATCGAGAATGTTAGATCCGGTGATAGTTTTTGTTTGTACTGGATGAGTCCACGTGATTAAATGTTTGTTGTCACAAGCATTATATGTAGCACAAACCCCAGCCACACATACACATTAAACACACCTATAAATACACCCTGATATAATTAAACTCACACAAACATAAACACATATACACACAAAGACAAACACACAAGCGTATATATACATCCACTCACGCACTTAGACAAACTTTTACAAGCTAGCCTAGCAAGTGTTTGTTGTTAAAGTCAAGTATTTTAGACACTTTTAAAACAACATGTGCTCTCTGGTGATCTATAATGATACACACCAACACATGTGTTACACATTATTTTAATATAAAGATATCTAGTCTCTCTTGCCACTGTGAAATCCCGACATTACTTAAAGCATGGGATGCTGGAACTTGTTTTAACATTGTGACAGTTGACCCCGTCATCCCCTCCCATCCTAGCACTGTTTGACATTTACCAACAAACACAAAGTATCTGCGTGAGGGTGGGGGGGGGGGGGGGGGGCTAAATGCACGTCAACTATCATTGACACACGACTCATCACATCTTTCTTCTCTTTACTCAGTGGGTTTTTTTTTTTTACAAAAATTAATTTATAACTTTTAGCTACGATTCATTTTATAGTAAGGATTTCATGCAACAATAAGTAGGGCTAGTTTGTTGTCTTTCCCTTATCTAGTTATACAGCATTATGTGAGGCTAGTTTGTTGTATTTATGTTATGTAGCTAGTCAGCATTATGTGAGGCTAGTTTGTTGTATTTATGTTATGTAGCTAGTCAGCATTATGTGAGGCTAGTTTGTTGTATTTATGTTATGTAGCTAGTCAGCATTATGTGAGGCTAGTTTGTTGTCATACAACTCTAAATTCAAACGCTGACATTGTAGACATAACAGACTTGACATGTTCTGCTGAAATTTAATCGACATAACGATATGTCATAGCGAGTCTAACAGGTACAAAAACTTGACGTATGCTAGATCTTGATCTTGATCCTATATCCGTACGTTTGACGACCATATTAACTTATCTCTTATCTCCCTTGAATACTTTGCTCTCTCCAGTCCTAGCTTGTTCACAGAATCGCATTTGATTGCATTGCGCATGCGTTGAACTTAACCAAAGGCGGTACAAAATAAATGGATTGGATGTGGTTATAGGGGGGGGGGGGGGGGAGGGGAGGGGCTGAGTAAATATAAAAAATAATTTTTTGATTCGTTTGATTAGTGTTTTACACTACACAATTTCACGACCCAATTGATGTTACATTTAAAATATTTTCCCCATATTCTGCGCCAGAAACTTGCGGGCCGAGAGAGACGTGGTGCCAGCTGGTGCTAGCACGGCGTCGTTTGGTGCGCAACTAGACCGAGGATCTTCTCAAGTACCCAGCACACCATCAGACTTAAGAGTCAGCGGTTTAACGGACACAAGCACCAGTAATTTTGTTGACTCCATTACACCATCAGATTTAAGAGTCAGCGGTTCAACGGACACAAGCACCAGTAATTTTGTTGACTCCATTACACCATCAGATTTAAGCGTCAGCGGTTCAAAGGTTACAGGCACCAGTTATTTTGGTGACTCCAGCACCGCCCACACCATAAACCTAGACAGCAAAGACTCCGCCCACACAGACGACACAAACCCCGCCCATTCACCTGGTATTAGCACCGCCCATAAACACAATACCACCCATGTTGAAAGTCTTAATGCGGCACCAGCAACTGATTCTATTGGAATAGCTTTAGATCAGATCTACAGTAGGTCTGTAGGTCTACAGAGTTCTAGTGACATCAACAGGTCTGTAGGTCTACAAAGTTCTAGCGATATCAACAGGTCTATAGGTCTACAAAGTTCTAGCGATATCAACAGGTCTATAGGTCTACAAAGTTCTAGCGATATCAACAGGTCTATAGGTCTACAGAGTTCTAGTGACGGTCAAAGTACACCAAAGACACTTGATGTGTACACCTCACCTGAAAGCTCAGCTGATCACACACGTCCATTGTTGCCCCAACGATTGGATCCACTATCCACAGAGACCTACTTAGATCCACTATCCACAGCGACCTACTTAGATCCAAGTGATCCAAGAGAAACAGGTGCACCCCAAGCTGCACATGGTGGCTGGAATGTTCCAGAAACTCAGGTCCTTGATTTTGGCACTCTCGTTTTCTCTCACGATGCTACGGAGACTTCATTAAGAGGGTCTCGCTTTGATAGCACTCAAAGTAACGGATTAAATCATTCTACACATGCAGGCATTCACGTAACACCTGCTGATATTAACGTAAGACCTGCAGGCATTCACGTAACACCTGCCGGTATTAACGTAACACCTGCAGGCATTCACGTAACACCTGCTTTCATTCACGAAACACGGGTTGTAATTCACGAAACAAGTGATCTAATTCACACAATTGACGGGTTAATTTATTTGTTGCCATCACATAGCTCACTTGAATGGGCGGACAGTCATTCACTGCACGTGTCTAAAGACACACAGAAACAAAGCGAGCAAGACGGACTCAAGTCGTCTGTTGAAGGCCTGCCCGTGCTGGGCTATACCCTAGGGCCCGTGCTGGGATATACCCTACACGATAACGGGTTCTTCTCTGGGGACTCTAAACAGGATAGTCCTAAGGACAGCGAGCGTGTGACGTCATCTGGATCAACAGACGGGGGGACTGGGCTGACCCAGGCTACACATATCCAGTCCATCGACCCTGTCCGTGATGGTCACTTGTTGCAAGACTCGGAGTCAGCCTTCATCACATCAGCTGGACATCACGACGTGACGCTGCCACATCATGATGGTCACATCGCTGAGGCCACTCCCTCGCTTACTGTGGTTGATGTGTTGACTCGTGCTACACAACAACAAGCAGATCACGTGTCACTTCAATCAGCAGAACTAGAACCTTACCTGGAAACTCTTAGACCAAGGTCACATACTGACGTAACGGGAGGACTTGGCTATCGTAGTGACGTCACACAGATACACTGGTCAGACGTCACGGTGACACCATATTTAGCCGCCACTCAAATACCAAGGTCAGACTTTACTCAAATACCAAGGTCAGACGTCACCTGGTTTCCAAGGTCACCAAATAATGACCCGCTTTACATTGACTTGATATTCCCCAGCACCAAACCTCCAGACTTGCAGACGACCATGGTGACGTCACTACAGACAACCATGTTGACGTCACTGCAGACGACCATGGTGACGTCACTGCAGACGACCATGTTGACGTCACTGCAGACATCAATGACGGCCGTACCCAGCGCTCCGGCTCCAACCAAAACCAAACACATTTCTCCTCCAACTCTTCATCCGTCCTCATACCCGCCCTCACTAACATCGACGCCTCATGTGACATCAGCAGACATCCAACCGTCCAGTCTGCTACAAGATGGAGACATGACTTCAACACTTCCTCCCAGCTCTCAGAGACCAGCTACAACATCAAGTCATGCAGGATGTGAGTAAACGTTAGATACAAACTTTGGTGGTTGTCCCATGTGAGTAAATGTTAGATGACAAACTTTGGTGGTTGTCCCATGTGAGTAAATGTTAGATGACAAACTTTGGTGGTTGTCCCATGATGGGCGCCTTTGTCCCGTCAGTACTCGCTAACAAAAATATTTAGTCATTTCTAAACCTCTATGCTATTGACCATCACTCTATTTACATGACTCTAATTATTTAGTTGCAGAGCCATTAGCGTCACAAGGCGGAGTGAGGTGCGGATTTTGCTAGCTGACACCATATAGGGGGTGACACCATGTAGGGGGTGACACCAAATCGAAAATTAAACTTACTGTCAAAACAATGTTTTATCTAGTTCATCATCTTTTCCCTTTAGTGCCCATGGGGCCGCCACAGAAAGCTCCCTCCACTTTTGTCGGTCTCCGGCAATTTTCCTGGCAGTCCGCCATGACAGTTCTGCCTCTGTCGGCTGCTTCCCCCCACGCCTCCAATTCTCCCTATATCTCCCCCGCTTCTTGACGTTCCAACGATCTATTTTTATAGGATTTGGGGTGTAGTGGGCTCAGCTTTGTTTTCAGGATGTCAACTTCTGTGGCACAGCTTTCATCTGTGCCCGTCATATTTGAGGAACTGTTTCCCTTTCACCGGCTTTAAAAGTTGTAATGCTTCCTTTTTTGCTTTGTGTAGCGGGTTTTTTATTTTACGAGATAAGGTTGCTGACCTTATGCTCAACCCCCAACCTGGAGGACCAGGGTGTTAGCTTTGGTCTGATCCCTACCCGCGCAGACCTTCCCAGCTTGGTTGAACCTACCAGGAGTTTACACTCCCGCTGGTATAGCTTGGGGGGGGGGGGGGGGGGTCATGCCAGGAGTTTACGTTCCCGCTGGTATAGCTCTGGGGGTCATCAGGGTACACAAGTTGCCCGGCCACGACAAGGCTCTAGCACCGGATGTTTATCTAGTGAAAATAGTAAGGGGAAAGGGGGCACCAAAAACGAAAATACTAAATAGTTCTAGGAGAGGTGGGTGGGGTGCAGTGTTTCTTCCAGACTTTTTTCTCCGGGGGGGGCACTTGAAATTTTCGGGGGGGCGGTAAACTTTCTTCGGGGGGGGGGGGGCGGACACTGTTAAAAGTATATATTTTCTATATAAATTATATAAATTTCATTCCGTTCGGGGGGGGGGGGGGGGCGGTAAAAAAAATTCGGGGGGGGGGGGGGGCTTCATCCCCCCCCGAAGAGATGCCTGGAAGAAACTCTGGTGGGGTGACACCCTCATTTATTGCACAGGGTGATACCCGACCTAGTGATGCCATTGAATAGATCTACTACTCTTATAAAATACCTCTGTTTCTTTCATTTAAGTGAATCTGCTCCTGTCATTTAGCCTAAAAAGTTGTCAGATAAAAAAAACAACAACACTTTCTTTCCCAACAGTTCCCGTGCAGACGGCAATTATCGTCGCTTCTGTTTGCGCTGCACTTGTCATCGTTTTCCTTATCGTCCTGCTGGTGTGTAAGAGAAAAAGTGCAGGGAAAAACAAAGTGAGTTTGTCGGACATTTTTTTCATCAGTTGATTTGTTCACTTGAACCTTGTCTAACATTTAGTGCCGTGACAGATCGTGTTAAATATTTGGTCTTTTTTACATTAGACACCACGGGAAGGAACCAAGTATTTCAGATAAACTTTTAGTTTCTCTCAGTTATTTCCCTTTTAAATGTACAAATCTCTTGTGTACTTAAGCCGCATGAAATAAATTTCAGTGTATGGTTCATTTATTGATTCCAATGGACAACTGTTGTAAATTTCCAGCCAATGAGACCACAGCGTGATGAATTGTGGGTAGATATGGACAGTTTCATGACCATCCAGCAGATACCTTTTCCATCCTCCACATCGATGAATGACGTGTCGGTTGTGGCCCCTAACACAGGTGCCCGAGTTGTACAAATATTCCATCACTTTTTATCTCTAATTTGTGTAAACTTTTCTATTTAATTTATACAATAAGGATCTAAAAATCACGTTTCCGTATACCTGATGTGAAAACATAAACTAAAACAAATGTGTGTGTCTAATCAGATACGGTGTACACAGCCAACTACACATTCACGGCTACACAGGAGGGACAACTGGCACTAACCAAGGGAGACAAGCTGCAGGTGTTTGAGAGGAACGATAACGGTTGGTGGAGGGGCGTCAACCTGCAGGATGGTTCCACGGGCTGGTTCCCTAACGGCTTTGTCACCACCGTGGGAGGTGATTTCACTAGCCGACACACTTGACACACTTGTATAGCCAATGTTAAAAGTTTAGCCCAGACAGCTTATCACCACATAATGATAGCCTACACATTGTTTCAACATAATGACTACACATTGTTTCAACATAATGATTGCAAATTCTCTAAACATAATGATTACACATTCTTTATTAATATTTACACATTCTTTAAAAATAATGACTACACATTGTTTTGACATAATGATTGCATGTTGTTTGGCACATAGCGATTACACATTGTTTCAACATAATGATTACACATTGTTTCAACATAATGATTGCACATTCTTTAAGCATAATATTTACACATTCTTTTAAAATAATGACTACACATTGTTTCAACATAATGATTACACATTGTTTCAACATAATGCCTACACATTGTTTCAACATAATGATTTCAACAAACATACTAAAGAAAAATTTAGAAACGATTTTCTCTAATTTAAAGCAAACATTGATTTTAAAAGTTTGTTTACAAGTTGCAGAATCCAGCGAGAACTTGAGCAACAAAGAGAAGACAACTCCACTGGTTTGTTTAGTCAAGCCCCACAGACAAGTCAGCTCCTTCCAGATCAAAAAACGTGAGAGTCCAGAGAAAGATGCTCTGGTCACATATCCAGTTCTGGAGGTAACATTGGTTCAAATTGTTCTGGAGTACCTTTTTTTACATTGATTTCTATCCAGTTTTAAAGGTACAATTTTGAAACTTATCCAGTTTTAAAGGTATAAATAAAAGTATAATTTCTGAAATCTTCTTGAGGTACAATTAAAAAAAAAACTTTAAAGAACTACTTAAAAAATGTTTACCTAGTTCTTGAGAAACTAAAAGAAAATGCCTAACTTTGAATTGGTTCCAGAGCACTCGTGCCATGAATGATGTGGAATCCTGGGTAAACATGGCTGCTAGTGGGTCAATGTCATCACTGACCACAACAGAGAAGAGTTACACAACAAACAGGAGTGACTTTATAACTGGACCAAAAGGTAAGGCCTGGAAACAATCCAATTCATACCCCACATCTTGTGTCCATCCCCCCCCCCCAACTAAAAATTTTCTAGTTATTTGTAGTAGAGGACCTCCCTTTATCCAGCTACATGACAGGGTAGGCTGAACCATCTGCTGGTATCAGTGAGTGATAGAACCATGTGTAGACCTAAGGGGTGGCCTATCAAACTTATCAACTCTTTTATTTAGTTGTCACGTTAATAATTTTTTATGTTATTTTTTCATTATATTTATAATGCATATTAATTTAGCTGAAGGCAGATCTTGGTAGGGACATGGAAGCTAAGCCCCACACAACCATGTAGTGTAGCCCTCAGCAGACAAGTTGATAAATCAAATGTGTCCTCCCCAGCCGAGCACAAGTTGATAAATCAAATGTGTCCTCCCCCCAAGCAGACAAGTTGATAAATCAAATGTGTCCTCCCCCCAAGCAGACAAGTTGATAAATCAAATGTGTCCTACCCAGCCTGGCACAAGTTGATAAATCAAATGTGTCCTCCCCAGCCTAGCACAAGTTGATAAATCAAATGTGTCCTCCCCCCAAGCAGACAAGTTGATAAATCAAATGTGTCCTACCCAGCCTGGCACAAGTTGATAAATCAAATGTGTCCTACCCAGCCGAGCACAAGTTGATAAATCAAATGTGTCCTCCCCCCAAGCAGACAAGTTGATAAATCAAATGTGTCCTACCCAGCTGAGCACAAGTTGATAAATAAAATGTGTCCTCTGTAGCAGACAAATTGATAAATCAAATGTGTCCTCCCCAGCAGACAAGTTGATAAATCAAATGTGTCCTACCCAGCCGAGCACAAGTTGATAAATCAAATGTGTCCTCCCCCCAAGCAGACAAGTTGATAAATAAAATGTGTCCTCCCCAGCTGAGCACAAGTTGATAAATAAAATGTGTCCTCTGTAGCAGACAAGTTGATAAATCAAATGTGTCCTCCCCAGCAGACAAGTTGATAAATCAAATGTGTCCTCCCCAGCAGACAAGTTGATAAATCAAATGTGTCCTCCCCAGCCTGGCACAAGTTGATAAATAAAATGTGTCCTCTGTAGCAGACAAATTGATAAATCAAATGTGTCCTCCCCAGCCGAGCACAAGTTGATAAATCAAATGTGTCATCTGTAGCAGACAAATTGATAAATCAAATGTGTCCTCCCCAGCCGAGCACAAGTTGATAAATCAAATGTGTCCTCTGTAGCAGACAAGTTGATAAATCAAATGTGTCCTCCCCCCAAGCAGACAAGTTGATAAATCAAATGTGTCCTCCCCAGCCGAGCACAAGTTGATAAATAAAATGTGTCCTCTGTAGCAGACAAGTTGATAAATCAAATGTGTCATCTCCAGCAGACAAGTTGATAAATCAAATGTGTCCTCCCCAGCCTAGCACAAGTTGATAAATCAAATGTGTCCTACCCAGCCTGGCACAAGTTGATAAATCAAATGTGTCCTCCCCAGCCGAGCACAAGTTGATAAATAAAATGTGTCCTCTGTAGCAGACAAGTTGATAAATCAAATGTGTCCCCTGTAGCAGACAAATTGATAAATAAAATGTGTCCTCCCCAGCTGAGCACAAGTTGATAAATCAAATGTGTCATCTCCAGCAGACAAGTTGATAAATAAAATGTGTCCTCCCCAGCCGAGCACAAGTTGATAAATAAAATGTGTCATCTCCAGCAGACAAGTTGATAAATAAAATGTGTCATCTCCAGCAGACAAGTTGATAAATAAAATGTGTCCTCCCCAGCTGAGCACAAGTTGATAAATAAAATGTGTCATCTCCAGCAGACAAGTTGATAAATAAAATGTGTCCTCCCCAGCCGAGCACAAGTTGATAAATAAAATGTGTCATCTCCAGCAGACAAGTTGATAAATCAAATGTGTCCTCCCCAGCCGAGCACAAGTTGATAAATCAAATGTGTCCTCCCCAGCCGAGCACAAGTTGATAAATAAAATGTGTCATCTCCAGCAGACAAGTTGATAAATCAAATGTGTCCTCCCCAGCCTAGCACAAGTTGATAAATCAAATGTGTCCTCCCCAGCCTAGCACAAGTTGATAAATCAAATGTGTCCTCCCCAGCCGAGCACAAGTTGATAAATAAAATGTGTCCTCCCCAGCCTAGCACAAGTTGATAAATCAAATGTGTCCTCCCCAGCCTAGCACAAGTTGATAAATCAAATGTGTCCTCCCCAGCCTAGCACAAGTTGATAAATAAAATGTGTCCTCCCCAGCCGAGCACAAGTTGATAAATAAAATGTGTCATCTCCAGCAGACAAGTTGATAAATCAAATGTGTCCTCCCCAGCCTAGCACAAGTTGATAAATCAAATGTGTCCTACCCAGCCTGGCACAAGTTGATAAATCAAATGTGTCCTCCCCAGCCGAGCACAAGTTGATAAATAAAATGTGTCCTCCCCAGCCTAGCACAAGTTGATAAATCAAATGTGTCCTCCCCAGCCTAGCACAAGTTGATAAATAAAATGTGTCCTCCCCAGCCGAGCACAAGTTGATAAATAAAATGTGTCATCTCCAGCAGACAAGTTGATAAATCAAATGTGTCCTCCCCAGCCTAGCACAAGTTGATAAATCAAATGTGTCCTACCCAGCCTGGCACAAGTTGATAAATCAAATGTGTCCTCCCCAGCCGAGCACAAGTTGATAAATAAAATGTGTCCTCTGTAGCAGACAAGTTGATAAATCAAATGTGTCCTCCCCAGCCTAGCACAAGTTGATAAATAAAATGTGTCCTCCCCAGCAGACAAGTTGATAAATCAAATGTGTCCTCCCCAGCCTAGCACAAGTTGATAAATAAAATGTGTCCTCCCCAGCAGACAAGTTGATAAATCAAATGTGTCCTCCCCAGCCTGGCACAAGTTGATAAATAAAATGTGTCCTCCCCAGCCTAGCACAAGTTGATAAATAAAATGTGTCCTCCCCAGCCGAGCACAAGTTGATAAATAAAATGTGTCATCTCCAGCAGACAAGTTGATAAATCAAATGTGTCCTCCCCAGCCTGGCACAAGTTGATAAATAAAATGTGTCCTCCCCAGCCTAGCACAAGTTGATAAATCAAATGTGTCCTCCCCAGCCGAGCACAAGTTGATAAATAAAATGTGTCCTCTGTAGCAGACAAGTTGATAAATCAAATGTGTCATCTCCAGCAGACAAGTTGATAAATCAAATGTGTCCTCCCCAGCCTAGCACAAGTTGATAAATCAAATGTGTCCTACCCAGCCTGGCACAAGTTGATAAATCAAATGTGTCCTCCCCAGCCGAGCACAAGTTGATAAATAAAATGTGTCCTCTGTAGCAGACAAGTTGATAAATCAAATGTGTCCCCTGTAGCAGACAAATTGATAAATAAAATGTGTCCTCCCCAGCTGAGCACAAGTTGATAAATCAAATGTGTCATCTCCAGCAGACAAGTTGATAAATAAAATGTGTCCTCCCCAGCCGAGCACAAGTTGATAAATAAAATGTGTCATCTCCAGCAGACAAGTTGATAAATAAAATGTGTCATCTCCAGCAGACAAGTTGATAAATAAAATGTGTCCTCCCCAGCTGAGCACAAGTTGATAAATAAAATGTGTCATCTCCAGCAGACAAGTTGATAAATAAAATGTGTCCTCCCCAGCCGAGCACAAGTTGATAAATAAAATGTGTCATCTCCAGCAGACAAGTTGATAAATCAAATGTGTCCTCCCCAGCCGAGCACAAGTTGATAAATCAAATGTGTCCTCCCCAGCCGAGCACAAGTTGATAAATAAAATGTGTCATCTCCAGCAGACAAGTTGATAAATCAAATGTGTCCTCCCCAGCCTAGCACAAGTTGATAAATCAAATGTGTCCTCCCCAGCCTAGCACAAGTTGATAAATCAAATGTGTCCTCCCCAGCCGAGCACAAGTTGATAAATAAAATGTGTCCTCCCCAGCCTAGCACAAGTTGATAAATCAAATGTGTCCTCCCCAGCCTAGCACAAGTTGATAAATCAAATGTGTCCTCCCCAGCCTAGCACAAGTTGATAAATAAAATGTGTCCTCCCCAGCCGAGCACAAGTTGATAAATAAAATGTGTCATCTCCAGCAGACAAGTTGATAAATCAAATGTGTCCTCCCCAGCCTAGCACAAGTTGATAAATCAAATGTGTCCTACCCAGCCTGGCACAAGTTGATAAATCAAATGTGTCCTCCCCAGCCGAGCACAAGTTGATAAATAAAATGTGTCCTCCCCAGCCTAGCACAAGTTGATAAATCAAATGTGTCCTCCCCAGCCTAGCACAAGTTGATAAATAAAATGTGTCCTCCCCAGCCGAGCACAAGTTGATAAATAAAATGTGTCATCTCCAGCAGACAAGTTGATAAATCAAATGTGTCCTCCCCAGCCTAGCACAAGTTGATAAATCAAATGTGTCCTACCCAGCCTGGCACAAGTTGATAAATCAAATGTGTCCTCCCCAGCCGAGCACAAGTTGATAAATAAAATGTGTCCTCTGTAGCAGACAAGTTGATAAATCAAATGTGTCCTCCCCAGCCTAGCACAAGTTGATAAATAAAATGTGTCCTCCCCAGCAGACAAGTTGATAAATCAAATGTGTCCTCCCCAGCCTAGCACAAGTTGATAAATAAAATGTGTCCTCCCCAGCAGACAAGTTGATAAATCAAATGTGTCCTCCCCAGCCTGGCACAAGTTGATAAATAAAATGTGTCCTCCCCAGCCTAGCACAAGTTGATAAATAAAATGTGTCCTCCCCAGCCGAGCACAAGTTGATAAATAAAATGTGTCATCTCCAGCAGACAAGTTGATAAATCAAATGTGTCCTCCCCAGCCGAGCACAAGTTGATAAATAAAATGTGTCATCTCCAGCAGACAAGTTGATAAATCAAATGTGTCCTCCCCAGCCTAGCACAAGTTGATAAATCAAATGTGTCCTCCCCAGCAGAGCACAAGTTGATAAATCAAATGTGTCCTCCCCAGCAGAGCACAAGTTGATAAATCAAATGTGTCCTCCCCAGCTAAGCACAAGTTGATAAATCAAATGTCCTCCTCAGCAGACAAGTTGATAAATGAAATGTGTCCTCCCCAGCCGAGCACAAGTACCGTGTTGTTTATGCCTACAAGCCTGTGTGTAAAGGTGAGATGGCCCTGAAGGAGGGCGAGCTGGTTGTGTGTAAGGAGAGGGACCAGAATGGCTGGATGTACGGCACCAAACCTAAGACAAACCAAGATGGCTGGTTCCCAGCTGTCTATGTGGATGAGGTAGTCTAGATATATTTTATTGGGTAGTCTAGATATATTTTATTGGGTAGTCTAGATATATTTTATTGCTGCTCTTTTGGGATTTCATTTACCGAAAAATTTCAGAATTTTTTAGGCGATAATTAAGCTCTGTTTTCTTTATAATCCCAATGAAATTTACAAAAAGGTAAATTCTAAATCTAATAAGGACTAATTTGCCCTCAGGTTTCCTCAGATGATGAGTCCAACTGCTCTGAAGTTCCAGAAACTTATGACCTGTTAGAGTCTAATAAGTTGCATAAGGTTGACCAGTCTTGGATAGGCATTGGTCAGTACTGTTGGAACATTTTATCAAAACTGAAACCAAAACACTTTATTTGAAAATATAATGAGACCAAAGATATAGTGTTATTGTTAAAGTATATAGTAAAATGGTAGTCCTCAATGTACTTTGCTATAGTGATGTAACTATCTGTGACATCTTTTGTTCTCTAGAGCACAAAGCTCTCTACAAGTATGAGAGCAGCGTGCCAGGAGACTTGAAGATGGAGGAAGATGATGTTGTTGTAGTCCTGCAAACACTGGCCAATGGCTGGTGGTTTGGTACCAAAGGCAATCTCTGTGGCTGGTTTCCTGGTTCATATGTTGAGGTTTGCATCTTCATGTTTTGTTCAAGTTTCCTTAGACGTATATTTTCTGCATTTAATGTTCTTAAACTTCCGTGACTTTGCTAATTTATACTTTTGATAAGCTCATAATGCCACTTATATATACTCAAGCTTTTTTTTCTAAAGATTAAAAACAGATGATAATTTGAAATCTAATTCTAAAAATAGACTTTTGTTTTTTCAAAATGTTCAGATGTTGGAGGCAGATCCACCAGACTTAACTACAGATAGTGACAGCTTGGACAACACTTTCACTCGTATCAGCTTTACTGAGTCCAGGTCTCACACCCCAGACCTCCACACTGAATCAAGACCTCACACCCCCGACCTGCACACTGAATCAAGATCTCACACCCCCGATCTGCACACAGAATCAAGATCTCACACCCCCGACCTCCACGCTGAACTAGAATCAAGCCATTCTTCAAGCACTACACTTCGCAGCACTACCACCAAGCAACCTGAATCTGTTAGCCCAACACATAGTGCCCAGGGAACTATAGATCACAATTTACTCAATGCTCAAACATCCAAAAAGTCCCTACGGCCCAAGCGCATTGCACCTGAACCCCCAAGTTCCAGAAGTTTCTCTCCCATTGACTCAAAGCGCAGACCAGCTCGTCCAGCTCCTGCGCCACCTATCAGACAAAATTCTGCGCTCAGAAAGGAAAGTCTACAGTCTAATCAGCTAGGTGGCAACCAGACTGAGCCAATTTCCTTAAACAAGCATAATGTCAAGAGGCCAGTTCTCCTCATTCATGGTAAGAGACCAAAGCTTCACAGAGTGCCTAAAGGTGTGTTGGATAAGAAACAGTTGAATCCAATGATGCGGCCGTCAACAAGAAACTTCCTCAGGAAGCCTTCAAACATTTCCACACCACACAATACACAACACATCAAACCTCTCACAGAAAGGTCTAGGCCAGATTATCACAAGGTCGAGTCAGCTCAAGGTAAAGATGAAACACCATCAGCAGATGGCAGTGATGCAAATCTTTCTCTAGTCGTGCCATATTTCTTAAATCAGGAGACAAATCATCACAAATCTAATGAGACAAGTCTTCACAAATCTAATGAGACAAGTCTTCACAAATCTGATGAAACAAACCATCAAACATCTGATGAAACAAGCTATTCTGGCAGAAGTTTCTCCCCCTATCGCACCAGCTCTAAAGACTCTACCAAGCCCAGCACCAACAAGTTATCTTTCAAATCCCCAAACACCCATGGCAACTACTTCCCAAGGGAGAGAACTCCAGAATTAAAGTCAGGGAGAAGCAACTCTCCTAACATCCCAACATCTGGGAACTTCCTTCAGAACGTCAAGCAATTCAACAGAGCCCAGAGACTGCGGACTCCATCCCCATGTTTTGACCAGCACACCAACAGTGAGACGGAGCAGGAAGGGGAGAGCACACGTCCCAACAGGCAGCACAAGATGGCTGCTGTCTCCCCACCCACACTGCCACACCAGGGGCAGACAATTCACACTTCAACCAACTCTAGAACATTCCATCCAACCAACGCAGATCTCAGTTCAAAGGAGAGACATCCAGATGGAGCGGAGAGACCAGAGGAGTCTGGGGTAAAGACAGATCTGTTAACTGTTGTACCAGGCAAAGTGTCTGAGATAGTACAGCAGATAAACAAGCTCTCACCTCAGTAAACAGATATCTCTCTTGGTACAACAGATAAACAAAATGTCACCTCAGTAAACAGATATCCTCTTGGTACAACAGATAAACAAGCTCTCACCTCAGTAAACAGATAAACAAAATGTCACCTCAGTAAACAGATATCCTCTTGGTACTACAGATAAACTGTCACCTTTTGTTTACAAGTTGGTGACTCCCCTGAAAAGCCTTCAAGGGTCGTGACCCATAGATTGGGAACCCATGGTTTTAAAAAATAATTACTCAAAAGTACAGTAAAAAATAATAGACCACTGGTCTAAAAGATCCACATTTTCAATTGGTTAAAAAAGGTAATAAGTATACACTTAAAACAAATTTCTTCACTGAACAAAACCCCTAGGCTTTACTTAGTTGTAAATTACACCTACCACATTTCATTTTTCAATTGCATTTTGATGGTTAAGTCAAATTTTTAACATTTAAAATTATTGTGTGACTCGTCTACCTTAATAAAAAAAAACAAAAAAAAACTATAATTACTGTAGATTTAGTACAGTAATTCAAGAATGTAATAATAATTGTAAATGAAGAATATTGAAATATAATTAAAATGCTGATTTTTGCCACAAAATTGGCAGAAAGTAAGAAATAGCTTAAAATCTTTTAGTACAATTATCATATTTTGGTTGTAAAAATTAAAAATCTGTATTATCCAAATATTCAGGTTTTTAAAAAAAATGTTTATCTACTGCACCCCACCCCTGACAAAAGTTTGCCTAAAAACTGATGCAACAAATCTCTTCTATATTAGAAAGGCAATTATCTGAGATTGTTCAATACAAGAGTACATGTTCCTCAACTGGTTGACATGCAAATTTGATACAACTGTAGATCTATATTTTTAAAAAATGATAATTATGTTATGTGATTTTTGTTTAGCCATTGTTATGCACTAATTGTACACTTTCCTCCTTCAACTTGAATGCTTCTATAAAATAGTTTATGTCCATATAAATGAGTTGTCTTTATTTTGTAACAGCTTTAAATCTATGGCAAGCAACAAATTTTGTTCTAGCCACTGCTGGGTTTATCAATGATTGCACACATTATAAATGATACAGAGACAAACTCAACAACCCATTTTAGTTTTATAAAAATTTATGTAGCAGTTGATATAGGACAGAAAAAATTTAACTTGTTCCGTAATAATGAAATGTCCACAGGTTTGGCCTCATAAGCTTCACCATCTATGTTGTACCACTTGCCCTGTACATAGAAAGTCAACAAGACATGGAGAGCAATGTATGCTGCTGATACAACTACCTTTTTACTTTATAAGGGAATTAAAGAAGCTGAAACGTCTTTAATTAAATGGCCATTTCTACCTCTACCAATGTTTCCAACATTAAAGTAAGTCATGGCTAATTGAAATAGCCACTCACCTCTTCAGTGACATCAATGTGAATTCTCTTGGCTAAGACAGTTGAGTCACCTTCTGATCCCAGTTTAAAGTCTTTTCTCTTGTTTCTCAGCCAACTGAGGAATGTTAGTCATTTCATTTTTAAACAATCTTCTAGTCAACCTGCTAGCTACTACAAAACCTAAAATATATAATGTTGGAACTATGCATTGTAAATGAGGGTTATTCCCCTTTGGAGATGTTGGCAGAAAGACCATTCTACTTTTGTCTTATTATCAGCCTGTTGTTGTTATAGTGTCCACATCCATGTTAAAGAATTTGATTTGATAACTGGCCTCTAACATGCTTCAATTAATATCAGTAACAAAACACAACAAGCAGAACAAATGAAAGACATGGATCAGTAATGAGTAAAAACACAACAGAATCTTGAACTTACCCTTCATTAATGACTTGTAACCTGTTTGGCTGGCTAGGACCAAGACTTAGTTTCAGAGCTTTGAAGGGCTGGATAAGAAAATAGATCTTACATTTCACAATTCTCTATAGAAAATAATGAGTCTTAGTGACGTTTTAATTAAAACTCTTACACTATCTTTGTCAACCAAAGTTGAAACAGAGACTGTCAATTCTATAGTCGAGACATCTTGATGAATCCTGTTCATCTCTTCTAAGTTTTCTTCCTCGATGTTGGATGTTGTTTTGACATCTAGAAGTTTGAAAACTTTATTAATTAAAACTTTATTCAATGAACAGAATCAGAAAACAAACTGAAGAGAATGCAGCTAATTTGTCGTTTACAAAAAGCTGTAAAGGTAAAATCAAACTCAGCTCAACTTTAAATCAACCTCAATATTTTGTCAGTTCAACTTAAAATCAACCTCAGTATTTTGTCAAATCAACTAAAAATCAACCTCAATGTTTTATCAGCTCAACTTAAAATCAACCTAAACATTTTGTCTGCTCGGCTTAAAATCAACCTAAAGTGACAAATAAATTGATAAAAATGTAGAAGTAATTTAATAAGAAAGTAGTTAAATTTGGCGACTACTACAAAATGACAAAGAAAAGATGCAGTATTGACAAGAAACATAAAAAGTTTCAATGAATCTTTTCAACAATGAGAAAAAATCCGAGAAACAAATGAGAAAAAAATCAGAGAAACAAATGAGAAAACAAGTTAATAAAAAGTCTAGTGACAATTTGAGCGCAATTTCCTTATGTAATCCATAACAATTTTAAATCGAGATAAATCATATATTCAGCAAATAAATAATGCAACACAAGTAGTTTTAATAATTCAAAACAAAATAGAAAAAATATTTATAAACGAGATTTTAAAAAATATGCAGACGTGTAGGGGGTAATAGAAAATATCAACGGAAATAGTTTTATTTTAACGAGTAGGCCTACACGATGCTCAGTTTAAAATATCATCCTAGGCCTACACGATGCTCAGTTTAAATAATTTTTTTTAAAATTTTGTGACCGAAAGAAAGGATATTTTTGAAAACTTTCTTCGGCAATATTGGTTTAAATTATGGCAGGAATCGATTGGTAAATGTTTCAAGTCGCTAAGTGGTCTGGTTGCCGAGATATGGAGCAAAAACTGCATTTGTTCGAGGTTTTTTGGCTTTTCCTGGAAATCCAGGAATTTTTTTGGCCTATGTTCATCCTCGGAACTTGCGTAACATATATTTGCTTTTGGAACTAGTCCTCGATATTGCTTCGTTGAGGAGGAGATACGACTTAAAGGCTGCGGACACACATCCATCCAGAAATGACAAGTTAATAATCGCAATCCCAGTATGGAAATTGGGCTAAAAATCAGAGAAACAAATGAGAATAAAATGAAACAACTGATAGCTGAAGAAGACCAGAGCAACCTACCCAGGGCTTTAGTGTGTCTCCTGCCAAACAGGAAGTCAACAAAATTCCAACTTTTTCTGGGAGCTTGCGTCTGGACAAAGTCTGCATCAACAAAGGCCATATTGGCCTCTGTGGCCTCTATGTAAGACAATTTGACATTGATTACAGGTGGCCATTGTTTCATTGCTGTACGTACATATGTCCATCTTGATTTCAAAGGTCCAAAGTACCAGTATCTGTTTCAATAATAAGTTGATATAAGAAATCCATCTCTAAACACTAACAAGAGGAGTGTAATGCTGAGAAGAAAGAATTGTCCTACTTTGTCTTGCGATCTTCAGCATCTCTGTATGCCCCCACCTCAAGTCCAGTTAAAGCAAATGTTGTTTTGTCATCTGTTGTCTGAATGGAGTTGGAATAAGGCATTACATTCCCATTTAAATATATGGCAAATCATTAGTAGCCTATATTTGTAGCTTTGGATTAAGTCAAAACACTATTGTAATACTGTGTGTATTGTAATATTCAATGAAATGTTAGAGTACACCACTGACCTGCAGCTTGATGACATCCACTTTCTTTGTGATGGCTCTAACAACAGCAATGGCTGCCTCGGCTACAGCTCTGTCAGAGACAAGGGAATGTGTTATATGGATGTGGCCACCCTTAGATGTTCTGATGGTCTACAGCACACAATTAGTGGGGGGATAAAACTTACTTGACCTCATCCAAATCATGACCAAATAAAATCTTGAAGAAGCTGTTGGAGCTGCCCAATGGTATAACACCTAGAGGGATGTTCTCAGCAAAATTCTAATCACAATGGACGAAATGGAAATCACATCAAATAAAAAATGTGGAATTTAAAAATGTGTTTGATGGTTATGTTAGATGGTTCAACATGCAGACATCAAGGTAGTTTACAAACATATTTAGGTAATGTATTGACAGCTAAATAGATCAGTTCAAAGCCATGCTTTCTAAAGCTTTATTATAAATAATGCATGCTATGAAGAGTTCAACATTTTATAGATGTAAGTAATTTATTCATGTCTTACACATGACTAGACACTATAGTTGCTTGCTATCACATCTGATGTACTCACCCTATCCTCTTTTCTTAAAAACCCAGTCACAGCCTAAAAAGGAAGATTTTAGAACATTTAAAAACTGTTCACTTAATTTACCTTCACCTTAGCCTTTAATAGAGGAAAAAAATACAAATACTTTTCAGTGAAGAAAAATGGGCTCTATACTATCATCATAACCAAGAAGCACTTACTTCTAGCAAAGTTCCATTTCCACCAGCTATCACAATTGCATCTGTATCTTTAGTGTCTAATACAGTCATAAAATTCTTCACTTGACCTTCATATTCAGTCTTAAAAGAAAAGAACCATTGAAGAATGAGTGTACAATATGCTATGCTAACAGGCTAATGAGTGGGGTAAGAACTATTGTCCTGCACATGGCTTTACTTACAGAAACTACATTCACTTCAATACCCGCTAAGTATAGGATTGGTGCTGCTGTTTTGTCAAAAAACTTTCTGGCTTTTCTGAGTGAGAGGTCAAATGTAAAAATTAAAAAACGCTTTACCTAATAATTAAATAGCTAAATAATTAAACAGCCAAATATTACTAAAAATTTAGAAGGCCCGCTAAAAAATCAAATAAAACTTATTCATGTTCCAATATGTTTTTAACAATTGTTCGGGCACCTGATTATAAATGGATTAAACTAAATTTTAAGAGTAAGAGAAAATGAAAAAGTGGGCAATGTATAATCTGCATAAATAAAAAATAGCTGACAACTTGATATTGAACATTTTTTTAAAACAAGGTTATTAAAACACAGGAAATAATTAACAATATTTTTTTTACCCTCCTTTGGCAGCAGGGTTGAGAAATACAGTAACTCTTCTTGGTCTATGGCCAAGCATAATTTTCTCCTTTCCATATAACTGAAATAAATTTATAATATAGTATGTATAAGAAATAGGAAAACAAAACAACAAAAAATTATGTCGATTAAATTTAAAGTAAAAAGAACTTACTTGTGCTTCCTCACAGTATTTTCGCCTCAATAAATTATCACTGGAAAAAATAAATTAAAATTAGTGATGTATTAACATATGAGTGACAATAGATGGAAGACAGGTAAATGATGTGCAAGAGTTTGTCCACCTTGGCAGCAAGATCAGCAAAACGGGAGGCACAGAGGAGGACATACGCGCTAGAGTTAATAAAGCCCGCTGCGCTTTCACAGTCCTGCGACCCATATGGAAAAGTTCTGCCATCTCCATTACCACAAAAATTAGGATATTTAACTCTAATGTCAAAGCAGTTCTGCTGTACGGAGCAGAGACATGGAGAGTCTCCATGGCAAGCACAGCAAAGATACAGACCTTCATGAATAGATGCCTTAGACAGATATTGAAACTGAGATGGCAGGAAAAAGTGCCGAACATAGAACTATGGAGGAAAGCTAGGCAGGAGCTTTGGGTGCGCAAATAAGGAGGAGGAAGTGGCGCTGGGTGGGTTACACACTGCGAAAGGCTCACCCAAATGTTACACGCCAAGCGCTTGAGTGGAACCCCCAGGGAAAGCGGAAGAGAGGGCGCCAAGACAGACCTGGAGGCGGAGTCTTCTTAAAGAACTGAAGCCAACAGGGATGTCTTGGGAGATGACAAAATTAATAGCCGGGGATAGGAAGAAATGGAAGGAAATGGTGGAGGCCCTATGTTTCCTCCAGCGTGGCCTATTAAACAATTCAGATATGACCCGGCAAGAAACCATTGTGTTCTCCCCCCCCCCCGTTTCCCCTAGGTCACATACCTGGGATGGGACGGAGGTTAGTTTGTCGCAAGGAGATCAGTGGAGAGCTAAGCTTTGGATTTGGTAGATGTGTATGTGTGTGCTAAGGCTGGTGGCGATGGTGGGCCGTTGCTGTTGTGTGAGATGCTGTACCGTTGCTGTTTAGTTGGTGCAGAAGCTGTCGCAGTACTTGTCGGCTAGATGCTGTCGCTGTACCTGTCATGATGTCGACCTGTCCTGTGAGCTGCTGTCGTTGTACCTGTCAGCTAGATGCTGTCGCTGTACCTGTCGTTGTGGTGTCTACCTGTCCTGTCCTGTGAGCTGCTGTTGCTGTACCTGTCAGATAGATGCTGTTGCTGTACCTGTCGTCGTAATGTCGACCTGTGCTGTCCTATGAGATGCTGTTGCTGTACCTGTCATCGAGATGTCAACCCTAGGCTGTCATCAAAAAGCTGTCCTGTTGACAGTCCTTGTTATGTCGCTGTATGTATGGCGGGGTAGTTGTGAATACCGGTACTGATATTCGTTCTGATTATTGTAACGCTGTAATCTATTGTATTGTCTGTAATAAGTAATAAATGAATTGAAATGCTAAGTTTTATTTTTAGTTTAATATTAATGTTGTATTAGTGTGAAGTAGTTAGTTTTGCTCAGGTCTGGTAAACCTCCTTGACCAACATTACAAGGATGCATGGATTTGAGAGAATAATACCGCCATCACCATCCCTCTCTACCAATCGGTTTAACAAACAACCCCCACCTTACATTTAGAAAACTGTTTTAATAAAGTGGAGTAAAAAATTGGGATGATTTTAGATACCGATGTCCGATAATAGTATCATAATAATAGAGTAGGCCTAAATAGTAATACAGTAACAATACAATAGACTAATAAAATAGACTCTTCCATAAAATAGGTGTGTTTATTTATTAGGCCTATTTAGTTACGAGAAAAATGGCCCGTTGAGGACGGATACACCGGGCGCTAGGCTGATAGTGCTGTCTCTTTTCTCTAAACTAAAACCACCCCACCCCCCCACACACACCACCCCCCCACACACAACCCCCACCCCACCCCACCCCCACACACACCACCCCCACCCCCCCCCCCCCCCAAAAAACATGTATACCGTCCCATTCAACGAAATATAATTATATACTTTTTCCAATGTCCGCCCCCTCCCCGAAAATTCTACCCCCCCCCCCCCCCCGAAAATTTCAAGTACCCCACCCCTCTCCGGGGAGGAAAAAGTCTGAAAGAAACACTGGTCGCATTTGTAGATCATACAAACTAAAGGAAGAATCTGGGCGGGGCTCCGCCCCTACCGGAAGAGAGGAAAAAGTCTGAAAGAAACACTGGTGTCACGCTTAGCCACTACGCGAAGAATTGCATTAAATAAATTGCAAGAAAACCACTTTTTAGATTAGACACATTAATTAGGCGGTAATTTTATTATAGAGTATCGATGAGGAAATTTCTTTTGAGTTGGGGAGGGGGGGGGGGCTCAGACGTTCTTACGCGGGGGTGGGGCTTCGCCCCTACCCGAAGCACTGTATGAAAGAAACTCTTCACGCAAACCACTTAGATTAGACAAAATTGCCTTTTTATTCAATGTTTACTCGAGAACCAATGACGTCATATTACTGTGTGCACTCTTTGGCTTGATATTATTTTCTACTATACGACATCATACTTCGTTTTCGTTTCACTGTGCAAGTTTTTAATTTCCTTGTGTTTTCTCTAGAGCGTTCCTGTCAGATAGACAGACAGAGCGTTCTTGTCAGATAGATACACAGACAGCGAAACTAATTAAAATTATTAGGGCCCTAATAGTTAACTACCAGTAACCTAACACCCCTTTTTTAAAGGAGATTCTATTCGGAACCTGGAATAAAAATTCCCCAAAAAATTGATTAGGCTAATTCCTAAAATTTTAGACTAAAAATTTTTAGTTTCTTAAATTTCTTACTTATGCCGGTTTTTTGCGTAATTTATTCCGTAAGCACCAACAACAAAGAAAAACGTTGATTTTTTCCAGTGATTTCTTAGAGTCTTTGCTGTTTTCACTACAAAAGCCATAACTAAATAGAGATCTAGATCTAGATCTAATAAAAATCTATTAAAATTTCAAAGAAAAGAACTCAGCCCATAAGAAACTTTTGTTTAGTTTTAACATAAAACACGGGTCAAATGAATGGTGGACGCTGCCATCTTTGTTGTTGCAAAAGATGAATCAGGAATAAGACGTGAAAGAAATGTAGATCTAAATTTAGTCTTAATCAGAGTTTCTTCCAGGCATCTCTTCGATATATAGGCCTAGGCTGGCATATTTTAGTATGCTACGCCAAGGGGGTGTGGGGGGGGGGGGGGGTCAACATGAGTTAATTGCACCGTTTCACCAAGAGACGCCTATGGTTGAAGAGAGAAAATTCAGGGAAAAGTTTGTTTTACATGTAGTGCGTTCCGTAGACAAAAGAATTATAGCCTTGTTGATCTTATTATCTTATATCTGGATGAACTAGGGGGCCTAACGAGAACACTTTGTTAAACTCGGGAACCTGCTCTGTGCGACTAGTATGAACAAGAAGAAAGATAAACTCCAGCTCATTGGAGACTATTGAGTGATTGTGATTTTAGCCTGCACTTGTTTACATGATGGCGCTGACTAAAAGATAATAAGAGTTTAGTGGGAGCGGCCCGCGTAACTGCATACATAGCCCAGTACATGTAACATGTAGAAAAACATTTGGCTTTTTCAGTGATTTTTCCATGACTGTGACTTTCTTTTCCCCTTACCGTGTATAGGGGAGGGGTTGGTTGGATGTAGAAAAGTGGAGAAATGTGGGTGGAGTTGGACCTACATCATTTAGTAGGCATAATTGAAATTTTTCTATTAAGAAACGTTTGGAAACTCGACAGCTTATATAGGTCGTCCATAAATGACGTCACACTCGTAAAGGGGGGGGGGTCCGTAATTTTGTGACGGTGTGTGATGAGGGGGAGGGGAGGGGGTAGATGGTGGGACGTCACATTTTTGCATTATAAAAAAGCAATGTTAGAAAACGAATTTTAGCCGTTATTTCGCGTTTTAGAAAACTGTTTTAATAAATTGTAATAGGAATTGATTAAAACACTCTATATGGTGAGAGAGTTCAGACAAGATTTTGGAAAAATATCGATGTTTTAAGAAAAATGCAACTGGGGGGAGGTAAAAATCGTCAAAAAAGCGTGACGTCATTTATGAAGGACCCCTTACTTTATTATCGCTTTTTTCCCTTTATAATTCCTTTATACAGTATACATTTGCTTAGTTAGGATTATAATACTTGCTTGTAGCGGGGTGCAGTGGCGTAGCGAGGTCGGGTGTCACCCGGTGCGGGACTTAATGGTGTCACCCCCAGAGGCGTTGGGACCCTTCCCGGGGATAAACTTTCAAGTTTTCGATTGGCACACCCCCCCCCCTCAAGTTTTTCTCTATATATTTTGCTATTTTTTGCCTTGGTGTCACCCCCCCCCCCCCCTAAATGGTGTCACCCGGCGCGGTCCGCCTCCCCTGCCCCCCCCCCCCTCGCTACGCCCCTGGCGGGGTGGGACCTAATCTAAGTTCTAGGCTTATAAAAGATAGTTTAGGTTAAGGTGATAGCAACCATTATATTGGAACAAAGAATAAAAGATTACATGGCTTGGTATCAATCACGCCTGCCGAGATCAAAGAGCAAAAGATGAGCCTCGCTTGATCCTAGCGGCGCTATATCCACAATGTGTTTGATGTGTGGGCTGGGCCATCACTTACTGCCCACAGATCTGACTGGGCCACGAACCAGATATTAGCCTCTCTACGTCTTAATATTTACTCAATGCACGATTCATGACTATTTTCTCACTCCGTCATTATGTTTGGTGCTAATAAAAAAATAAAATAATACATCATTATATGTAATAATATTTTTTATAATTTTATTTCATAATATACGGTAGTGAAGTTAGTTTTTATTTTATTTTTGTAGAAAAATGTATCAGAATCTAAAATAGATCTATAAATATACAATTTCACGCGATTGCTTCCCTTTGTGTTGTATCCTCGTCCGTCATGGGACATAGGCACTACAGTTCGATTAAAAGTAAACTAAACCAGAAGTTAATTATTTCAGGTCGGTGTTAGGAGAGTATAAAAATAATGTTAAGCATACGTGCAAGCCTTACAAGAATATAAATGCATACACCTTGCTGCAAAATGCAGACAGTTGTACAGTTGTACAAACTCAATAGGCAGACAACAAAGTGTGGTTAGAATGTTGACAACTTTATAGAAGGGACAGAGCGATACCCAAAACATGTGAGGAAATATGGAGAGGGTAGTGGGGGGGGGGGGGGGGGCGAAACCGAATTTTAGGGAACATTAGCGATAAGGCGGGGGGGGGGGGTGAGGGGACGCCATACCTGTGACGAAATATGAGGAGAGGACATTAGCGAGGAGGGGGTTTAAGGGGGTCATGCCCCCCCCCCCCCCCACTGCTTAATGATAGACTAATTAAGTAGAGATATTGATGTCACACCTCACCCGCCACTGGCCTGCAAATGGCCGCTCTGAGAATATTGTGATGAGCGTGTTTACAAGACTAAACGGACCATCAATTTATCCTCTGGGGTTTCCCGTCGCTTCCCTCCATTGTTTTGCATTTAGCGCCGTTCATTTGACCACCCAACAAACACGCTGTGTTGTAAAGGTACCTGCAGTGGTGGCTGTTGTTGTGTTTGGAGGGAAATCAATACACATTGGGACAATATTAACGTGCACTCCATTCAAACTTAACATACTAGGCACACATAAGGCGAAGATGTGTGCAATGGTTTTATAAACTAGCAGGAATATCTCTGTACAACATGCCCTCATTAAATATCTCTGTACCATATGCCCTCATTAAATATCTCTGTACCATATGCCCTCTGTACACCCTGCCCTCATTAAATATCTCTGTACCACCTGCCCTCATTAAATATCTCTGTACCACATGCCCTCATTAAATATCTCTGTACCCGTGCCCTTCTCTACCCTAGTTATATCAATGAATATATGGGTGGTCGCCTTGTCCACCAGAAGTTTACCCATTTGTTAAACTACTTGTAGTAGCAGGGGCCTGTACTCTGGCATCTAACGACAAATTTGAAACGTTCCCACGGCGGTATGAAACAATGTGAGAAGTAAAAAATGAAGTAAGGACAAACAGCTTTTGTTTGCCCAGTTTAATGAGCTATATCCTAGCTGCAGTAAACTTGTTGTATTGGCTGCTGAGTAACTTATTAATGGACTCGTGTAATAGAAGCTGAATGGTTTATAACCGGTGGATTTAAACCCGTTATATCCACGACTACACCGTGTTGGTAGTTTTTATGCTAGTCTGTTGTTTAATGATCACGTCACGCTATTTCTTACAGACCACTCCATAAGCTGCGTACAGATGCTCCAAATATCGAAAATCAAAAAGTATCTAATTGTACATTAAAAAAAACCCCTCTCAATCAATTCATGTATCGGATAATCAATTATAGCATTTGTACCAGGTGACCTGGTCTGACAATTACACATTGCATGTGCGCTAAACAAAGTTGTTGTAATAACAGGCTATATGCTGTGGGAACCATAGGCTATATGCTGTGTTAACAATAGAGGCTATATGCTGTGGGGACCATAGGCTATATGCTGTGGGGACCATAAGCTATATGCTGTGTTGACTATAGAGGCTATATGCTGTGTTGACTATAGAGGCTATATGCTGTGGGGACCATAGACTATATGCTGTGGGGACCATAGGCTATATGCTGTGGGGACCATAGGCTATATGCTGTGGGGACCATAGGCTATATGCTGTGGGGACCATAGGCTATATGTTGTGTTGACTATAGAGGCTATATGCTGTGGGGACCATAGGCTATATGCTGTGGGGACCATAGGCTATATGCTGTGGGGACCATAGGCTATATGCTGTGGGGACCATAGGCTATATGCTGTGTTGACTATAGAGGCTATATGCTGTGGGGACCATAGGCTATATGCTGTGTTGACTATAGAGGCTATATGCTGTGGGGACCACAGGCTATATGCTGTGGGGACCATAGGCTATATGCTGTGTTGAATATAGAGGCTATATGCTGTGGGAACCATAGGCTATATGCTGTGGGGACCATAGGCTATATGCTGTGTTGACTATAGAGGCTATATGCTGTGGGGACCACAGGCTATATGCTGTGTTGACTATAGAGGCTATATGCTGTGGGGACCATAGGCTATATGCTGTGGGGACCATAGGCTATATGCTGTGTTGACTATAGAGGCTATATGCTGTGGGGACCATAGGCTATATGCTGTGTTGACTATAGAGGCTATATGCTGTGGGGACCATAGACTATATACTGTGTTGACCACAGACAAATTAGACTCACTCAACTGGACATAACTGATGCGATGCTCACATCTCCAATGACGCCATTGTAGCCACCCTTCCACCCATCAGCTCGACATTGTAGCCACCCTTCCACCCATCAGCTCGACATTGTAGCCACCCTTCCACCCATCAGCTCGACATTGTAGCCACCCTTCCACCCATCAGCTCGACATTGTAGCCACCCTTCCACCCATCAGCTCGACATTGTAGCCACCCTTCCACCCATCAGCTCGACATTGTAGCCACCCTTCCACCCATCAGCTCGACATTGTAGCCACCCTTCCACCCATCAGCTCGACATTGTAGCCACCCTTCCACCCATCAGCTCGACATTGTAGCCACCCTTCCACCCATCAGCTCGACATTGTAGCCACCCTTCCACCCATCAGCTCGACATTGTAGCCACCCTTCCACCCATCAGCTCGACATTGTAGCCACCCTTCCACCCATCAGCTCGACATTGTAGCCACCCTTCCACCCATCAGCTCGACATTGTAGCCACCCTTCCACCCATCAGCTCGACATTGTAGCCACCCTTCCACCCATCAGCTCGACATTGTAGCCACCCTTCCACCCATCAGCTCGACATTGTAGCCACCCTTCCACCCATCAGCTCGACATTGTAGCCACCCTTCCACCCATCAGCTCGACATTGTAGCCACCCTTCCACCCATCAGCTCGACATTGTAGCCACCCTTCCACCCATCAGCTCGACATTGTAGCCACCCTTCCACCCATCAGCTCGACATTGTAGCCACCCTTCCACCCATCAGCTCGCGGC